AATATCCACCCAGTTCTAGCCTCGTGGGAGTTCTCCTTTATATTCCTCCTTTAGATTATGTGTGTATGAATCAGGTCTCCCATAGAAGCTATCAAAAGCTTATTGAGGGAGCCTGTGTACATACAAACAAACAAAATACTGAGCCTTCTGTTCTGTGCATGTGTACGTTTATACACAATGTTATTGTCATTGCAGAGATTTTTATTGTATGCAATGTAAACAATTTCTCTGACCTTGTCATTAAAAAAGTGTCATGCAGGTCAAACCAGTTTGATTTCTTGGTGGTCATGTGACATGTTGACTGAGTAGTAGCAAAGTCCTAATAGGCAAATCATGTAACTTGGCAGTTATTTCAGCCTAACGAGACCAGACACTATATAAATTTAAAAGGATCGAGCCAAAACTTAACTTCCAGTGATTATGGGACATATTCCTGTCCTGTCCTGTCCGGTAGTTGTGTCCCAATCTTCCCTGCTGTCTTTACCACCTTCTGGAGAGCCTGATCTTCTGCCTTTGCACAGCTATTAAACCACACTCTATCAGGGATTCTGCATGATTCTAGGTACTGCTATAGTAGATGTGAAACTTGGCATTATGTTTTGTGGTTTAACTCCATCTTTGTAATAAGGTTTCGTCTAATCCCAAGTGCAATATGTTAGAGAATTTACTACATTTGCCATTTAAATAAATAATCAAATTAAATAAAAGTATGTCCCCACTAGTAAAATATACGTCAGTGTGAAGTATGCAAATGGGGTCCCCTGTAAACAGGTTAACTCATTTTTCCAGAAGTCCCCATAAAGCGTGGGGAAACCAGTACATTGACTTTTCAAAGGTTTGAAGGTGTGTTTAGGCTCACTAACCAATGGCTACTTTACCTAATTTTTTTGACACTTGTAGAACCTCTAGAATAGGTGGTCCCCACAAGAGATGATTACAACATTGGTCCCCATGAATTATGGAAACAAGTATGTGGGTGTGTGTGTGGGTGTATGTTGGAGTCAAACACGCGTGGCTTAATCGATGTCTGGCCCACTAAGGTGTGACCCCGTTTGGAAATCTGGGGTAACTCCACTCATCCCACATTCACAACACTAGATACTGCATGTGTTTTAGAGTCAGTGATCTTTAAAGACATACAATTGTGTAAACATTTGTATGTTTACATACTTGCATTTGAACATTCATTTTATGTTTAAAGTGATAGTCTGTAACTCTAAATGAATTGCAAATTTCAGGAAATGTGTTAAATTGACCTCCTGGCCTTAAATGTTGATATAAAATAAGTCTCAGTTATTAATTCTAATATTGCGGGCAAGTCCCGCCTTCCCTTCTCTTAGTTATAGCTCAGAATCCACGGTGCCGTCGAGGTTAACCAATCGAGTCATGCCAAGGGCTGTCAATCATCGGGCTGATGCTCGCAGCTGCGCGCATGCTCAGTGGTTTGTTTTCGCGGAGCCTCCGAATCAAGCCTCTATTAGGCTCTGGAACTTCATGAAAACTGAACAAAGAATTCTGAACATCCGCGCTGAGGTACTAATGTATATACTGAACCTATATCCATAATCAGATCCTCTATAATGTGCAATTCATGATAATAGCACTTCCGGGTTTACCGCGATCGCTTTTTTTGTGCATAAAAACATTATTTTTTTCATTAAAACTTTAACAAATAATTCTGAAAACCTATGTGCATGTGTATTAATAATGTGTTCTCTGATTAACATTTAAAAGTGTTACGGAAACGTAGGTGTAGACCAATCAGAAAGGTTTTTTTCAAATCAAGTACCTCTCTATCTCGCTTTCTGACAAACTCCAGACAATCACTTTAAGCTTCTCATTATAGATTCAATGTATTTACCAATTGTATTTTGATTCATAAACCCCCAAGAGTGCAGTACAGACAAAAACACATTCAAGTGTATATAAAAAATCAATTGTCAGCATGGAAGAACTCAAAGTACAATAACAGTGTACGATCAACCAAGAGTCTGAACCACAAACTGGACTGGACTCAGGTCTTTTGGAGTGCAGGGGCCAGTCCTGAAGACCTTCTATGACTCTGTGATGGCATCAGCCTCTTGTACGGTGTGGTCTGCTGGAACAGCAGCATCAGAGAGAGGGACAGGAAGAAGCTGGACAAGGTCATCAGGAAGTCCAGCTCAGTCCTGGGCTGTTCCCTGGACACAGTGCAGCAGGCGGGGGACAGGAGGGTCCTGGACAAACTAACATCTATGCTGGACCATGACTGTCGCCCCCTGCAGGACACTCTCTCTGCTCTGGAGAGCAGCTTCAGTAACAGACTAATTCACCCTCAATGTGTAAAGGAGAGATCTTTCCTTCCTGCTGCTGTCAGACTGTACAACAAACTACTAACAAACACGACCTGATCTCACATGTCATGCATCGGTGCAAGATCTGGAACTACTGTCAGAATGTGGAATATTGACACGTGTCACTGTCACTTTACTTTGACCCATCTGTGAATGTGTCACTGCTGTGTCCCAGAGCCTCATGCTGCTAATGTACAGATGTAAACATACTGCTGCTAATGTACAGATGTAAACATACTGCTGCTAATGTACAGATGTAAACATACTGCTGCTAATGTACAGATGTAAACATACTGCTGCTAATGTACAGATGTAAACATACTGCTGCTAATGTACAGATGTAAACATACTGCTGCTAATGTACAGATGTAAACATACTGCTGCTAATGTACAGATGTAAACATACTGCTGCTAACCCATTCACAGATGGGTCAAAGTAAAGTTCCAATCAGGTTTTAAAGCACAACACAGCACAGAGACAGCCCTCCTTAGAGTTTTAAATTACCTTCTTTTAACCACAGACAGCGGAGGGTGCTCTATTTTAATTCTTTTAGACCTAAGCGCAGCCTTCGACACGATCGACCAAAGGATTTTATTGGATCGCCTCAAAACGTGGGTTGGCATCAGAGATACTGCACTTGGTTGGTTTCATTCTTATCTTTTAGACAGAACCTTTGCGGTCACCATGGGTGATTTTACCTCCTCAACAGCCCCCATTACCTGTGGTGTGCCGCAAGGTTCTATTTTAGGTCCCATTTTATTTTCTATTTATATGCTCCCCCTAGGACACGTTATGGCCCGTCATAACGTGTCCTTCCACTGCTATGCGGACAACACACAGATCTACCTCCCGCTGAGACCAAACGACCCTGGAAGTCTGGCTGCTGTGATCGTTTTAATGATGTGAACCGTTGGATGGCCCACAACTTCCTTCAACTCAACACCTCCAAATCTGAAGTCCTCCTCATCAACCCGCCTCCATCAATATCCCACATCCAAACCCACCTCGGCCCCCTGTCTTCAAACATCACTCCCTCCGCCCGTAACCTCAGTGTCATTTTTGATTCTCACCTCACCTTCCACTCCCACATCAAAAAAACCACCCAAACCTGCTTCTATCACCTCCACACCATCTCAAAGATGAAAAACATCCTCACTCCTCCCGATCTCCATAAAGTAGTTAACGCCCTAATCTTCTCCCGCCTCGATTACTGCAATTCCCTCCTCTCCGGTCTCGACGCTAAATCCCTCTCCCGCCTCCAACTTGTTCAGAACGCAGCAGCCAGACTTCTCACTGGTTTTAACAGAAGGGAGCACATCACCCCTGTTTTAGCGCCCCTCCACTGGCTCCCTGTGCGTTTTAGAATTGATTTTAAAACTTTACTGATTACTTTTAAAGCTCGTTTAGGTCTGGCACCAAGCTATATTTATGAACTTTTAACCCCCTACGAGCCCCTCCGCAGCCTTAGATCCTCGGGCAGGTCCCGAGGATCCGTCGAGGTCCGTCGAGGCTCCGGGCGAAAGGTGACGAGCCTTCTCTGTCCGGGCTCCTTGGCTCTGGAACGACCTGCCCGAGGAGATAAGGCTAGCACCATCAGTATCCTCTTTTAAATCTCTTCTTAAAACCCACTTTTATAAAACAGCTTTTAACTGCTAGTTTTAAACTTCTCATGCTGTATTTTAATGTCTGCTTTGTCTTTGTTGTGTCTCTTTCGTGTTTTGCTCTGTTTGCTTTGTGTTCTGTATCTAATTATTCTGACCTTGTATTATGACTGTTTTTATTGTTTATCATGCTGACTGTGCAGCGCTTTGTAAACATTGTTTTTAAAAGTGCTATACAAATAAAGATTATTATTATTATTATTATAATGTACAGATGTAAGCATACTGCTGCTAACATGTACAGATGTAAACATACAGCTGCTAACATGTACAGACGTAAACAGACAACTATTACTTGCACTAGGACACACAGTACGTGCTTCTCATTGTGACAAAGGTAGAGATTTTATACTTTTTTCTTTTGATGCTAGAGTTAGAGATTTTCATTTATTTTATTTAGTAAAGAGGGATTGTTCATTAATATTGTGCTTTATGCTTCTCATTCCTCATATTCTGTAACTGGTGATGCAACACTAAAATTTACTGTGGGACGAATAAAGGATCTGTTCATCTTAATCTTAATCTTAAAGTGTTCAATCTGAGTGAGGCTTGTTGAAAGAAGCCTGCATCTTTAAAGAACAGTATCTTTCTCCAGAGGGAAGAATCTGGAACGTTCTCTTTCGAGTCTCCTTGTTTGGAGTTTTCTTTTCCTCACAAATACGAGTTGATTGATTGACAGCTAGAGCACACAACACAACGCTAATTACCCATTTTCCCATATCACAAAAGTCATAAATACAAATACGTAAACATACAAATCTACATGAAAACATACAAAAGTATGATTTAGAAATATGATTAAAAACATCACAAAAGAGACCACAAAAATATCAAAAAAATCACAAAAAACAGACTTAAAAGTGATAAGCGATACAAGTTCAGCAGTATGTTTGAGTTATTGGTAAATTCTCGCTGACGAGCTTTCTTAACAATGTGATTTTTGTACTATTTTTAATCATTAATAATATCCTTTTTGTTATGTTTCTACGACTGCTCTAGAGCCCCTTACTCCTGCGGGCAGTCGGAGCTGAGGCAGAAAGCTTCCTGATTGTATGAAGGATCAATAATCAATACATGCAGCTGACGGCGGACATTTTCTCCTGATGTGAGGAGACAAAACGCTGAGCCGATGACGTCGCGGCTCAGCTCGGTCACCATGGTTACCGTACCTCCTGTGAGGAAAAACAGAATAGACAAAACCTGCAGCCGAGCCAGTGTTTCCAGTGTTTTTGTCTTTGTGTCTCACTCTCAGTCTCAAATGATCCCTTTCTCATTTGTGCACAGGGAGGAGGCAGAGAATGGTCAAGAATGATGACAAATACATATGATTAAGAGTCAAATTCCAATGATCTTAAACACTACATCCTGTTTAAACAGTGCATAAACTGAGTGCTCTTATTTTCCCCACCAAGGGACGAGTAAAGGGTTCTCCTTTATCTTAAGTGCTACAATAGAATCAAGCTTACACAACAAGGGAAGCCACAGACACAGAAACCAAAGTATGAAACTGCAAAATAATAGAACAGACATGAAGAATGAAGCGGCTTAAATAAAGATACACTAAGTAAAGAAGTAAGTAATCTTTGCCTTTCACACACCAGAACAAAGTGCTTTAGAATTGGTGTGGGAATTTGTCCCCGTACAGGAGGTGCATGCCAGTACATAGTGGTAGGGGAAACCGGAGCACCCGGAGGAAACCTCAGACTGGTCACCATGTTGTGCTTGTTTGGGGAAGGTAGGCTCAGATGCACAGGGAAAGAACATGCAAACTCTGGTCTGGCCACCTCCCTGCTGCATCTGACAGAGAAGCTCAACATTGGACTTTAAGAGCTGGTTTTTGTTTCATCAAAATACATATTTTCACATATCGAACTACAGTATCAGTAATAAGAACACAAGAAAAAAAGGTCATGACTCACACCTCAGCATGAAAGTGTTGGTGTGGTTTATGTTTTAAATAAAGTTATAGTTTCAAAATAATAAATCTGCAGTGTGTACAAGAACATTGCAAATGTATACTGACATTTACAGAGGGTAGAGCAGAAATGTTGAACTTCTATTCAATTACATTTATTTGTATAGCTCTTTTGTACTGCGGTCATCTCTGAGGACTTTCCAAAGTTGTTGATTTACCAACAGTGATCAGAGAATCAAACAGTTTGAACACAGGAAATGCAAAAATAACAAACATGTTGAATCCATTGGTCCATAAGGAACAGGACGACCACCAACGACAAATTCTGGATTAGTCCTAACATTTGGCACGTTTCACGACATTTTCATTATTTGAATTAATACAAAATATGATGATTATGTATTAAGTTTTTCAGTCCATCCATTTTCTTCTGCTTTGTCCGTTGCTGCGTTGCGAGGGCAGCAGTGTAAGCAGCGACGCTCAGACAGGCTCTTCTTCATGTGGACTTCTATTTCTGGCCCAGTTTATTATAGGAATGGTCTGTGAGTTGTGTAGCATAGTATAAAGTACTGAAATAAGCAACACTGCACCGTCAAGTTTGAAAAAGGTGTTGGATGAAGCAGAAAAAGTTCCAATCTCACACACACACACACACACACACACACACACACACACACACACACACACACACACACACACACACACACACACACACACACACACACACACATGCACACACATAACAAAAATGTATATATACAGGTAAAAACAGTCATGATGTCACATGTCCTCAGGTAGTGCCTGAGGGTCTGCACTGTGCTGCATGTGTGTGTGCTTCCAGACAGAGCAGCAGTGAGGAGGAGCTGCATCAGGAGCAGCAGTGAGGAGGAGCTGCATCAGGAGCAGCAGTGAGGAGGAGCTGCATTAGGAGCAGCAGTGAGGAGGAGCTGCATTAGGAGCAGCAGTGAGGAGGAGCTGCATCAGGAGCAGCAGTGAGGAGGAGCTGCATCAGTGAGGTCAGAGCTCTGTTATTGGGACATGTGCAGTAAACAAGCTGGTATTAAACTATTGTGGCTCTGTATTAAAGTAAGCAGCTTACAGCCCCCGTCTCAGCTGCTGCTTCTTTGTTCTCAAAAGACACGTTTACTCAACACCCAAAACCGTTTCCTTTTATTCATTCATCTCTCATCAATACTTGTGTGAATGCAGAGATTGCCATGATACTAAAATATTACTATACTGTAACAGAAATGAAAGAAAAACTGTATTCAAACGCACAGTAATTCAAACTGATGTATTTTTGCTGTTACGATATATACAATATGCGCTTGTATCTGGCAACCCTTTGATGTTTCTACAGATATTAGACTAATACTGTAGCTCAGAATACTGCGTTTATTTTCCATTGTTAAAATCATGCATTCAAAATTCAAAATGTTAGAAATCGCAAATGTAGGTCACTCAAATTGGCGTATTACAAACGATAAATGCCATTTTCCCACAGCTCTCCTCCATTTTGTGCCGCTGCCTGTTGTTTGCTTCCACGTTGAGAGGGGAGGGGGGAGGGGAGGTGGGGAAGGGGTGATGTGGGGAGGAGGAGGTTGCCATGGAAACTGAGTCTGTCACTTGCCGACATCATGGGTTGCAGCATCAGCGGCGCATGAATATTTGAGCTTCATGGACCGTGGTCTGGGGGTCCGACCCGAGAGAGAGAGAGAGAGACCTACACTGAGACCACTCTGTACAAGATGCAGAAGAGTGAGATGAAAAGCACAGGGCGTGGCCGTATTGTTTTTGTATATGTGTGGAAAGTGCATATATGTGGGTTAGGAGTGAAGGGGGAATGGATGGCGGGACAGGAATAGTGGAGCTGGGGAGGGGGCGGGTGAAAGGATTTTTGCAAGGAAAGACGACGTGTGCGAACTGAAATGCAAAATAGATGTGGGAAAGGAGTGGAAGAAGCCATGAGAGCGAGAAAACTGGGGCACTGGAGCTCGTCTTAGCCCCTCTACTCCCCCTCCCCTTTTCTCTCTCTGAACATCCTGCAGCATTTTATAATTAATCAACGAGTAGAGTTTTATGATCTGCCTCCTGGTGTCACAGCTAGGATCATTCATGCTGATTAGCCTCACTAAACATGAGTTGGAAAAACACTGAACAGAAATCTTTGACTGGAGGTAGCTGCGATAATCATTTCATCGGCTACAGACGTTGGCGCTGGAAAGAGCTCAGAACTGTTCTACATCCATTGGAGAAAAAAAACAAACAAGTGGATCTCGATAGAACAGTGTTGTGAGCCCCATCAACATACTCTGAGGCAGACCCAAAACAATAAATGTCTTTTCAACAAAATGTTTTATGAGCATTGAATACAACTGAAGACAAAGCTCTCGATTTACCGGTCAATCTTCGTTCCCTCCCTCACCTATGGTCATGAGCTGTGGGTAATGACCGAAAGAACAAGATCGCGGATACAAGTGGTCGAAATGAGCTTCCTCCGCAGAGTGGCTGGGCGCTCCCTTAGAGATCAGAGCTCAGTCACACGGGAGGAGCTCGGAGTAGAGCCGCTGCTTCTCCACGTCGAGAGGAACCAGTTGAGGTGGCTCGGGCATCTGTTCCGGATGCCTCCTGGACAGGTGTTCCGGGCACGTCCTACCGGGAGGAGGCCCCGGGGAAGACCCAGGACACGCTGGAGGTACTATGTCTCCCAACTGGCCTGGGAACGCCTTGGGGTCCCCCCGGACGAGCTGGAGGAAGTGTGTGTGTCTGGGCGTCTCTGCTTAGACTGCTGCCCCCGCGACCCGGCAACGGATGAAGCGGAAGAAAATGGATGGATGGATGAATACAACTGGTCGACAGGGGCTCAATTGGTAGAGCATTGGCCTTAGAGCCTGAAGGTCGAGGGGTTCGAGCCCACCACAAGACCTACTTCACGACTCCCACTGACGTCTGCTGTCGTTGTGTCCTTGGGCAAGACACTTAACCCCACTTTGCCTGAAGCCCCCGCTGAATAATCAAGGCTCATGTGGACAGACTCTGTTTCCAGTCTGTATTGCAGTAAAATAATTTCAATCTGCCCATTGCAAAATTTAACATTTTATTTTGTTTCGGGAATTTGTATCTTCTTTTCATTGGATATTGGGATTTATTACAATAAGGATTTCAGTATAAAAACTTCTAATCTCTGAATATTACTTTCTCAAATGAAGGGCAGTGATATTTAAGAAATTGATCCTTTTTTTCTAGATGACTTTTTTCAATGTAGTCTGTAGTTGCTCAGAAAAGGTTAATGACTCGACTAACATGATCCTACGACCCACTTTTTGGTCCCAACCCCTCATTTGAGAAGCACAGAGGAGTTGTCGGTCCTGTCACAGCTAAGCTTGTCAGCTAATTCACAATAAAGATAATTTATTTATATTGAGATTTGATCAGCAACACATGAACAGTTCATTTGCAAAAACAGATAACTGTCATCAGAAAAAAACATTTGAAAGGCTCTTTTTGTGAATGAACTCTTCTCTTGGACTCGGAGAACACACACACCCCACATGACCTCCACCTCGTTAAGGTGTGACGTATAACTCACATTATATATACTTAAATATCTACATATCTATATCTTAATCTATCGATATGCTGTACTTATTGCTCTCATTTTGAAGCATTTACTGCGACTTACCTTTGTATATTTTGTGTGCTTCTAACCTCATCAGTCCCACCTGGAGTTGTTTTTAGATCCATCCTTGCAAACATCAGGAACTTCTGGCACAAACATGTAACTCCGCCCCTTCTGTCTGAAAGCTCGTGTCTCAGTCCTGTAATAGTATGACATCATCGTACCACTCTGACATCAGTATTGCCCATAATATACAGTTTTCACAATTTATCAGGTAAAATCAGGTTCATTACAATCACATGTCTGTGTTTGCAGCTGGTCATTTTCAAACTTGGAAGAAAAAAAACAATACTTCGCCATGGTCGTGTCAAAGAAATAGGGCAGGTTTACTTTACGACATTGTTTTGATCCAATAGTTTGCGAAAAAATGATTCAAACTTGGACTGGACTGACTGATAGAGATTCGGGGTGTAGTATTGCGTAAGTAGCTGCTGTGTTGCCGGGGGCTGTCCCTCTGCCATATCCTTTCCCCTGCTGAACTTTGGCCCGTGCTTCGGTGAGTTCCTGCCTGTAATGTCTTAAACACGTGTCCCGCAGGCCTTCACCATCAGACTTTTAGCCGCAGCTGCCTTTTCCCTCACACTCAGATCTTCCCACTGGTCCCCTGTTTGTTAATAAAGCTTGAGAGGCCTGTATCACTCCCTTGAAATGTCACAAATACGCGGCAGTCTCATATTCGCATTCCTGTGCGTTCACCAGGGATTTTCCGTTTCTGTATTTTTGACAAATTTGCAAGTCAAGCCACATTAGTTTTCTCCTAACCACAGGAATTTCCCCAGCAACTTCCCAAAATCAATGATCAAGCCTCAAGAAGACCATTATGTCAGTGGTCAATAAAAATGCATTAAATAAAATCAAAGTAACGTCACAGTTGTAATCATCAAACCGACGGTTTTCTCTCCAGTTTTTAGCTTTGATTGATTTGTTATTGTCTTTAGTTTCCTATTGGGACAACTCTTTGTGGTTTTTAAAGCAAATTAAAAAAACTAGCCAAAGATTATGTTTTTGTGTGATTCTAACTGCTTTAAGAGGCACACATTCAGGTTTAAGTCTAATTGTTAGTGAAAATATATCGGTAAACAATACTTGGGCTGAGAGCTGAGGGTGGGCCTCTCTTCTTCACTTTTCAGAAACATTTAATAATCATCCCTGTTCATTCATGATGAGTTCATCACATAGACTGTAAAAAATAATGGACGTAGTCACGCCTAACTAATGGGCCAAAAATACTGCTCCACTGGAGCTATCCAAAATTAAAAAAGAAAATTGTGAAAAAACGCATCTGCGCATCGGTCAGCCGGCGCAGCTCCATTCATTTGAACGAGAGACTTCAAAAATTCACAGCTAGAGTAGAGTGGACCAAAAAATTCACCCCCCTCAGCATTGACACACATGTGGAACGGAGCTTTGGGCCAAGAGCCAACTTTTGGACCATCCTGTAAAGACTTTTTCGAGAGGTCTGCCAATGCTATATGTTAGCATTGGCTAATTCTTAACCCGGGTCCACCCCCATCGGCCCGGGGTGGTATTGCAAGCATGTCAGCGCACGTCATTTTGGCCACTTTTGAGCCGGGACCCGCCCCCACTGGTTCATCACGAATCCCACACTCACCTCCTGTTCCTCTGAGTCTCACACACAGAGTCACATGAGTTCAGTTGCTGGTGATGTCATATTAAAACCATGATGATGATGAAACACAGGTTTTGTCATCATCATGTTTCATGATGCGTCCTCGTGACCAGAACGATTCTGACCTCAGTATTAAATCTGCAGCAACTCATCATCAATACGTCTTCATGTTTTGTCCCCTCAGCTAAAGTAGACATTTTTGCACATATGACACATTTTTATACTCAGTTCTGATCTTGTTTTTGTTTAAGGAAAAAGGCTATGAGGTCTCATGAAGAGGATGATGATGATGGTGATGATGATAAAACCTTTTCACTGTGAGTTGCCAACATCATGCTGAAGTCATGTGAACCTGTTTTGAAAGATAGTTTGTAATGTATGGATTTAAGCCCAGCTTGAACTCATTATTACTTCATGTTTTGATAATAGATGTTTTACTACTCCATATGTGTCTCACTGCACGACCTTGTCAATCGAGCTCATAGAGGGAATAAGACAGCCCTGCACTGTTGGTGCTGCACGTTGTGGTCTGTGTGGAAGACTTCGGTCTGACACTCTGAGCCTGAAATATCCTGGAGCAGCTGCACATGTCTGAGGCCACACACCTGTCGCCATGGCGCTGCAGACATGTGGCCCCTGCTCTGCTGGACCACAGGGGGAAGGTGGCCCACATGTGCGGGTGAGGCGTCATTATGCTTGTGTTTGTGTAATAGCACTGTCTACAGATGACATAACATGCAGACAAACAGCAGTTGTAAAAAGAAAAGCAAAAAGGCACTTAACTAGAATTTTTGATACTTGGACTTACTCCAATTTTGGTATTTCTTCCAGGACAATTTTAGTTTAGAATAGTCATTTATTTTTCCAAAGACAAAAAAAAAATACACTAAATACAAAATTTAGACTGTAAAAACACACATGCACACAAACACACACACACACACACACACACACGCACACACACACACTCACTCACCTACAGCTTGCCTGACTCTCGTCTGAGGCCATGGCAGGTCTTTAAGGCCTCCCATGGCAGGTCTTTAAGGCCTCCCATGGCAGGTCTTTAAGGCCTCAAATGGCAGGTCTGTAGGGCCTCAAATGGCAGGTCTGTAGGGCCTCCCATGGCAGGTCCTAGGTGACGCGTCAGGCAAAGCGCAGTCCAACGCCCACTATAGAAAGCACGTTAAGAAGTACTGTACATGACATCGCCCAGTATTGCACACTCTGGCCCAACCTGGAACCAGTCCTGGGGTTGGGGCTCGTATGCGAGCGTCGGGCCAGGCCTTTGCTCACGAGGCCCAACTGGGCTCAGCCTGAAACGACGATGTGGGCCAGTCCTCCTGTGGGCCACCCGAAGATGGACCCATGGGGGCTGGTGCGGAGAGGACCGGGTGGCAGCCAAAGACCTCGACGACCCGGTCCGCACATGGAAGGAAGCAGTTGAGGTGATTGAGGCATCTGTTCCGGATGCCTCCTGGACGCCTCCCTAGGGAGTTGTTCCGGGCATGTCCCACTGGGAGGGGACCCCAGGGAAGACCCAGCACATACAGGAGGGACTTTGTCTCTCAGTGGGCCTGGGAGCGCCCTGCGGTTCCACCAAATTAGCTGGAGGTGTGTGTAGATAAGGAAGTCTGGGCATCTCTGCTTAGACTACTGCCCCCACGACCCGGAAACGGAAAAAGCGGAAGAAGGTGGATGGATAGATGGCTGTTGTGGTCTAAAAGGTTAATACAGAAATGTTGAACCTATTCGTGGTCATGAACATTCACATACAAGGACCTCTGTAAACCGTGCAGATTAGAACTGTTCTCTGTCACATGTCGTCCTAAGTGCTCCCACTCCAGCAGCAGATCTCTGTGCGTTTACATTCGCACATTCTTCACTTCCAAATTGAGACCTCAACATGATTCCATGTCAGGACAAAAATGGGCTCAAACAGGGTCCTAATCAGGAGTGTGAATGCACCTCAGACTGCAGATAGTATAGGAGTGTGTAGACTTTAGCATTAGCTGCTCCAGAGTTACGGCCTGTGCAGAAACAGCAGGAGGGAGGTCGACTTATTGTGAAGGATTGAGGATCTCCAAACTCAAACTGAGGGAGCCCAACACTGCAGCAGATGGAAGAGCCTGATCCCCTCTGGACATACTCCACACACATAACTACTGTTAGAAGGAGGACTGAGGAAGTAACAATGTTTGGATGTAAATAGTGGAGTGTGTGTTTGTAACACGAGTACGTTTACAAAGCACTGGTGAAAACAAGATCCCTCGGCGAGTCCGATTTAATGCAATTGAGCAAAATGCATTTTAGCCCAGGAGCGAGGTGTGAAAATCCATTTGGAGTAACTGGATCAAACCATGTCTATTCCCGTTTTTTTCTGGCATGAAGCCACATATACTGGATACAACTGAGATACGACCAGCAGTTGCACTTAAAAGCACAGGAAAGCCATGCTTCTATTTGGACGCATATTAGCAACTCATTCATTTATGTCCTTGTAGCACATGTTTCATTGTTTGTCAACAGCGCTAAAGAAATTGAAATAAAACTTGTGCTCCTGCAGTTGAGTGTGTATGTATCAAATTAAACCAGATGTTTACAATTTCCAAAAGTCTGCTTACACAGTATATATTACAGCAATTTTGATAATGATAATAATAATAATAATAATAATAATAATAAAATATATGTCACTTTTTGGACACCCAAAGATGATTTACAAAATGACAGATTAATAAGACACAAAAATAGATAAATATTGATTCATACATCAATGTTTATTTGGGTCAGTTTTGAACAGGTGGTATAAGATAAATAAGATAAATAAAATAAATTAAAAAGTAAAATAAATAAAATAAATAAAATAAATAAAATAAATAAAATAAATAAAATAAATAAAATAAATAAATAAAATAAATAAAATAAATAAAATAAATAAATAAAATAAAATAAAATAAAAGCGCTGATGTAGGAGGTCTGTGAGATATGACTGAGGGTGATGAGGAGGACCTTATGCTGTATGCGGTATGGGACAGGGAGCCAGTCGAGATACTTGAGGATGGGGGTGATGTGGTCTCTGGAGCAGGGGTGGGTGAGTGGGTGGCAGAGTTATGAATATATTGTAGTTTTTGGATTTACCATTACTGTTCCAAAGTTTGAGTTCTGAGGAAAAGTTATGAGACAACTTTGAAAGCATTACAAAACTCCATCTGCTCAGTGGGGAGCATGTAGACGGGGCCTTAAAAGTGGTCCGACCGGTTTGGAAGCAAGGCCAAATATAGAGTCTGTTTATACTATAGGTACTCCTTATGCTTTGTCAACGTATGCAATGCAGTGTGGCATTAATACATAGAGATTTTCCTTGTGGGAGCTGCAGTTAGTTAAGTGGACTTAAATTCTGGGGCAAGTTTCAGAAATGCCTTTTTTGAATGAGCATTAGTTATAGTAGTATAGATATCATGGCTGTAAAAGTAACAGTATTGTCTGGTACTTTTCCTCCATTCGACGTTGACCCTAAGCTCCAGGACTCCTCTGTCTCTGTCTGTGGTGCATTCCTGCTTCTGTCTGCCTCCATCTCGTCCATGCAGCTGAGAAAACAGGAGACAGAGCTTGGCACACAGAGAGAAGAAGAGAGAGGGGCTTTTCAAGAGAAGAGATAGAGAGGGGCTCGCTCAAAGACAGCATTGTTTTGGTTTTTCACACTTTTTTAACACCATCTTCAATCAGCTATAGCCTTAGAAATCCGTCTAAGGCTATAGCTGTACATTCACACTGCTATGAGTGTGGCTTGCTGTCGTTTTTATGTGATTTTGGTGAGCCATGACTGAGACTGGGAAATCTCAAACTCAAAGTTACAATGTGTTCTCCACAATTATAAATCAGTTTCAATAAATTCAGCCATGTTTTTTTCTGCCTATAACAAGGACATTTTGCTCTCTGGCCTCGATCCACTTAGTGAGTCACACAGACTGTATTGGAGTGTGGTTGTGACTGAGTGCATTTTATTCTCCAGTAAAATCCATATGAAGCAGTGGTCTGTGCAGAACATGTGCAGGTCCAGAAACAGCTGTGGGACGGAGCAGAGGGGGGCAGGGTACGGGGAGCAGAGGATGTGAGATGTGAGAGCAGGATGAATACGTTTCCTGTCAAACAACTGGTGAGACGCAAAAACAGTCAAAAAGGCGGGAGTCTGCTTCCTCTGACATCACTTCCTGCTCCAGGAAAGAGGCTCCTCCACAGGGCTCCCACTCCGGGTCAGGACACACTTCTCTGCATCAGTGACTCCAGGTTTCAGAAACTCTGTGTTGGACCAGTGGTTCATTGTGTCACTCATTCTCTTTTGTGACTCAATATGAAGCATACGTCCTTTCCCATTTGAAACACAATGTCTGAGTCACGTGTGTGCGGTCCATGTGTCAGCGCAGGGACATGCCACTCGTTTGTCCTCTCAGTCCTGCTAATGCTGTTACCGCACACAGGGCCATTGTGGAGGGCCTCTGTCTGTGCTCAGGCTCATAGGACCCTGCCATACATTTGGGTTTGAAGTTTAGTGTCTCCGTTTTGTGTCTGTGCCGGTCTAATCAGTGGGAATGTGATTAATTAGAGAGGGGAAGGGGCTTAACTGAGGCCCTAAAAGAACAATCTGCCCATTCTGCTGGATGTCCTGCAGGGAATAGATGACACAGGGCACAGGAGAAGTCATTGTGAGTCACATCAGAACAGACACCAATGCTCTGGCTATTTTAACACATGATGGATGCAGCCTCTTCCTGTTGTGGACTTGTCTTACAACTTATTCATTGTGTGCAGTCAAATAAATGCCCTTTTAATAGTCCGCTTGTGCAGTGGAAACAGGACGTTTATATAAAGAGACACATCATGATTTAGTTTAGTTAGTTATTGTGTTTTAGTCCCTTTATTTATAATCTAATTATGTCAGTTGGCTCAATGCTACAGTATCGAGACAGGAAATATCTCTTCTGAAATACTTAAATTACTACAAAGTTTAATATCAGACAGTGAGAAAAGTCTTGTTACACAGTGTGTGTTAACTAGACATTATTTACCAGTGCTTTTTTAAAATTTAACAATGGCAACAGTCCAGAACATTGGATCATTTCTGTCCTGGTGTTGTATATATTTACTCTCGGTGCCACTATACCCAGTTCTCATATTTACAATAATAAAGTCAAATGCAATTTCCATGTTGTTTGATTGACTCTGACCATATCACTTTGGACCCACAACTTTGGACCCATCCCCCAAACATCTGCATCTCTTTTGTCGTGGTCAGTGACGTGTGCGTGGCTATTTATAGGACCTGTGTTATTGTGAAAAACCCTTATGACAAAGAGCCGGGGCTGCAGGCAATAGCAAGAAATAATACTCCTTTAATCATGTTTGAATGGTTTTCTACTTTATCAATGTAGATGGAACCGCCTTTTTGTAATACATTCATTGGACCTTCCACATTATCAACATTGTCAGCTTAGTAGTGGTAGTATAGAGTTCCAATTCCCTTCCTGTCATTGAACAAACAAAACATACGGTTGAACTGATTTAAGAATCTTTTTATTTGAAATGTCAGTGTTTTTAAGAGAAAATAAAACAGCAATATAAATATTAGCATAAAAATAAGAGTAACACAGGGTAAAGCATAAGGGTTAAGCATTTGATAAGAAAGATAATACAGCAGGATAGAGCAGTATTAACTGAGCAGCGGACGGACGCACACATATATATTTATAATTTGTTCATATGGACAGAAAGAGAATGAGAGGCATTCTTTCACAAATGCACGAGAGAAAATCACAGCAAAAGAACATTAAGAAGTTACAGAAGGATAGAAATCTACATATTTTTTTGTTTTCTCTTTTTCTGGGTGATAAAAGATAGTACAGAGAAAAAAATGAAACACAAAAATATGTCCAACACATATCACAAGTTAACTAGTCTACGTGTGTCACTTGGTTTACTTATCTAAATGTCTCTTATTTCTTTATTTACACTGGAGAGTTAGTTGGCGGCGTTCATGGTGCTTAGTTACTACATTGTAACACAAACTGCTGAAGAACATCTTATTTTCTCTTTTTTTTCCTGCAGTGGTTTTCTTAATTTTCTTGAAAAACAAAACAAAATGCAACACATTCCAGTAGTAAGCCACGCCTTGTGAAGTGGACTTTTCTTTTGTAACGGTCAGACGTGGTCCCTACTTTACAAAGTGGCTCATACCATCGACATAGACGTGGAGTGGTATTTACAGTGGGGAGAGCCTCGGACGACACACCGTGGAGAGCGCAGTGACCGGTGCTGACTGGGGCCCGTGGTCAGCTGCTGTTATTGGCTCTTTTGACCATTACCTCTCGGCCGATGTATTAGTGTTGGTTTTAGTTAAGGGCGATTGGGTCAACAGCAATTCCTCTGTACATTCAGTGGTGAGAGCCGAGTTGTGTCCCAAGCCTTCTCCTCCCAGGATGCACCAGTCACACGCTCTCCCCGCGACCCGTCCGACAGACAGAGGGACAGCAAAGCAAAGACTTCATATCTTGTACAAACACTTCCTCTATGCTATTGAATCTCCCAAAGAGAAGTTTGTCACAAAAAGACGTCTCTCCAGCACTTTAGGGTAGTGAGGGAGCGAGGCGGTGAGGCCCTAGCAGCCTACAAGGTGTCTAGAAACTCCTAAGCACTTAAGTTTAACCACAGAAGTGATTCCCTAAGTAAAGTGATTACTATTCCATACATTACACGTAGCTCCTCAAAAAAACAACAGTGCATTTTCCATCATTTGGCTCTCAACATGGGATAGTAGTGAGTAGGGGCACAAGCTGGGTGTTGACAGAAGAGGAGAGAGGAGGGCAGGGGACGAGAGGAGGTATTTGGCCTTATGTCGCCTGTGCGGGACAACACGCCCTGCCCTCGCTCAGCCCTCTTCCGAGTGCATGCTCAGGTCATAAAAATATCAAAATCTTATCTTTTTTTCAACTATGATTACAAAAGTACATTGTGTCAAGTAAATGCTACATGTGCATTCTGTTGACCTGCGATTGGAAGGGGGAGCGGAGTCGGAAGGCCCCCGTTATTTTGCTTTTGCAATGCATAGTTTGAAACATTTAACTAGTATATGTAGTTTGAACCTCGAAGAGCATGCAATAGAGATTTGAATACCTGTCATAACCACAGAAGCCCCTTAAAGCTCCGATTTGGCCAAGCCTATACAAGAATCTAATCAATGGCAACTACTTTACAAGAGCCAGCTTCCCCCTGTTAGGGAAAGACCGGAGTAAATCCAACATCCAAAAGACATTTTTATCTCTCAATACAACACAAGTAGCCTCGTCATTCCAGCAAAGGAAACAGATACTTCCAAAAGAAAAGATTAAGAGTAACTACAACCCCGCATACCCTGCCCACTAAATCCACGACAGCATTTATGTGAGTGAGATATGACTTGGCAAACAGCGTCATCAGAGTGAGACACAGAGTGGAGAGGTATGAGGGGCCGCACTTCCATCACTTGGAGCTGTTGGCATCGCTTTGTCCCGCTCTACTTCTTGTCCTTCTTAGTGGACTTCTTCTTAGAGGCGGGGGTCTGGGCAGCCTTGGGGGGCTCCGGCTGGGATGAGACCTGGGGAGGGGGCAGGGCCTGCTGGGTGGCTTGTTGGGCGGTGGCTTGCTGCTGCTGGGGGTTGGAGGTGAGCGTGGCGGTGCTGCCGGGGATGTACACGTTCTGCCGGTAATCGGGCACGTGCTGCAGGGTGAACTGGGGGCTGTAGCGGGTGCTCAGTCCCATGGTGCCGGGGCCCAGTGTGGCGGTGGCCTCGTTCACGGCTGGCAGGAACAAAGAGGAGAGACACGTTAGAGCTTTTTCTATTATGACAAGATTATTCTCTAATACATATCAATACATTTGTCATTTCAGTTTCATCCTATTGATTAGAGAATACAGGCATCCAATTGTATCCACAACAGTAGTAAGTAAGAAACCTATTCAAAGAGGCCTCTATAATAGACTGGGGTGGGAATAGTAAGCATGTGGTGGTGGAGAACACACAGCCTCTCCAACATTCCACTGTCCCCTGGTTCTGAGAGCGAGTGCGCATGACAGTAGCTCTACTCATGAGTCTGCTGCAGCCCCTGCAATGCAGAGCCACCCGCTCCCTCCCCCATCGCTCCAGTCCACATGAAAACACAAACACGTGAGACTGCTCCTAAGTGCTCCACTTCAATGTGAATATTTAAAGCAGGAATAGTGCTTTGTTACTATTTACGGCAGGACAACCTCACGTTTAGTGGATGTACAGCTGAAGGACACTGTAGGTCCCTGTGCTCCCTTCTCACCCACATGGAACGTACTCGTCATCATCCTGAGCAGAATCAGGGCATTTCACAATGGAACAATGACTGTGTACTTAATCCTCTTCTATTATTTTTGACTTCCTCCCAAAGAGCAGCCCTTATGCAGTGTTTGCATCCACAAACATGGGTCAGTCCTTATGCAGTGTTTGTATCCACAAACATGAGCCCTGTGGGTCGTGCACATATCCTGTGGCACATACACTATACATGTCTCTGTGTTACGTCATACATAACAATCATCGGGGCTTGTGACCAGTGTGTTCACTAACAACAAACACCTCATGTCGTGTTGTTGAGTTCAACAAGCTGATGAGCTCTAAGGCCCTGAGGCGTCAGAGCTGTGGTCAGGCCTGTGGTGGACTGTTGTGGTGTCAAAACACTCCACACACTTTGCTGTGTGTTTGCAGGTGTACTGTGATAATGCCACTCTGAGACTCTCTGTTCAAATTGGCATCATATATTTCTACACAGCGACTGTAGTTACCATCACACAACAGTTTCAGAAGCAAATGAAGTTGATCATACATAGCCCACAATGTTCTTCCTCAGTATCACTATTCCCCACAACAAATAAATAGGATAGTATAATAGTAGACTCACTTTGGCCCAAAGCCTCTAACTGGACCTCAGCCCACGCTGTGTGTCTGCATTCAGAGCAGGTAGATTAAGACATATTATTCATCCATGAATGAAAATACTACTATGATCATTTTAGCTCAGTTAAACAGGAAAATACTACTGCAAAGCCACATTAGCCATAAGTGTCTTGTTTCAACATAGAAAAGGACTCACCATTCGCTGCTGCCATCAGAGCCTGGAGCTGTTCTGCTTCAGTGGGGGGCTGAGGCCAGGGCCCGGTTCCCATGGCAACCTCCGGTCCTCCAGCGGCCCTGATAAACAAAATGAAAGCCAATGTAACTCCCATGTTTGTTTGTACAGTGTGAGAAAAAGTGTGTGTTATCTGGCAGCATCTCACAAAGTCAATAATTTTGATGACAAAGCTCACAGAAAGATACACAACCTGAGGAGAACCTGGAACAAGCCTAATGTTTACTGAAAGGTGAGTGTCAGAAAGACAGACAGGGTGGCAGGAGCAGGAGCAGGAGAGGAGTAGGATCAGGAGCAGGCGTGGGACACATGGACACTGCCTCTCTCTCTGATGTGACAAAAGTGCATCTGTCTGCTTCATATTTAACCATCCACCTGAGGGCACGCTCCAGTCTAACTGTCTACGCTGTCTCAGAGTGAGCCCCACACACTCATCTGCAAAACACAACTAAAGACTTGCTTGTTTTTTTAAAACAAACAAAACAAGCCACTACAGTATTTATGTTGTAGTCGAACAGTAATCTAATCTGAGTCTATTGTCCAAACAGTTGAAAATCAATAAAACGTTGCCCTCTATCCTACACATTATGTCTATTTATGTGATAGTTAACATGATTACATTCTTCTAGGCCTAATGCTGAACATTCAAAGATGCGCTATAAATTATTCAGTGTATCGTAAAACCAATGAAAACTATAAATGAAATATAACACCAGGGAAAGTAAAATGAATTAAGGAGACAAAAATGTTAGTTTTGGTGCCAGAGGAACAAGTGCCAGACAAGAACACACGACACAAAGCACACAAGATTGTGTCTGGTCAGTGAAAGAAAACCATCTTCACATCTGACATAGAGAAGTAGAACGTGCAGCTGTATGTGTTTTTGATGTCACTCTCAGAACTCCTTTTGACTCGGTCCTGTGCACCGTGAGCGTGTCTAGGCCAATCACTGTCTCTCCACAGTGTAAACATGTTCTATCGACACAGATATTTTCTTTAGACAGCGTAACATTGAGCAAATGAGATGTAATTTGATGTCACACTTGTTCATGGTTCTGTATCTTAGGTAATCACATATAAAAGGTGTGGTGATGCTGGACTGCCACCTTCACAGACATACATTACATTAAGGGCAGCAGGTTATGTTCAGCCAGTAGTATCTCGACTGGAGTGAGTATAGCACACATAAACAAGGCATAGCAGGTCTACAAACCACTGCACGCAAACTCAAAACTATCACAGTCCTGTCTATGCCACAGCAGGCATTGTGGCCTATGCACATCGATCGACAAACCCCGTCAAACTTTCAGGGGAAGCTAATAAATGCTATGGGTAAGAAACATCTACACACAGCACAGCACGCGACCGCAGTGCACTGGAAAAGTCACTCTCTGGCCTTAGCAGCTGTACGTATCCAACTCTTTAAGTCGTCAGCTACTAAGGCGACAGAGTGACCGCACATTGTCTATCTCTATTTGAATACCTTGTGCCATTCTTCGGCGTCCATCGAATTTGTGTACCGTATGGCATGTGGGGACTAAAAACACAACAGGTTATTCAATTCGAAAGAAAGGCTAAGATTTGCATGTTTTAGTTCAATCCAATACAACATTTTCAACAGTTTGCTTATGTATATTAATGTAATTGGTGATTTGTGTTTGGTTCCAATAACAGCTCGTCTGCAAAGCCTTGGGAGTCCCTGACCTTGTAGCCCGGCCGCCTGTGGTGTAGTGTGCGGCCCTTTCTGCTCCGGACATCAGGCTACATTAGGACCCAGTGACTAACACATGCCATCAGAGCTATATCGAGGGATATGAAAACACCGCTGATGAAACGTGGAGGAGCAGATCTGGGATTATAGAGTGAATACATGCTCCCATCCCCCTGCTGGCTGTCCCTCATCAGCGCTCAGTGATGGTGAGAGAAGAGAGAACAGGAGGAGAGAAAGGGGGGAGGGGAGCGAGGCAGCCATTTTAGAGAGCAGCCTAGAGACAGGCACAGATGCTCTTTCTGTGCAACAAAAAGTGGGACGTGAACGCCACAGGTTTGCTTCCGGAAGAAACCGTAAGAAGATGCTATGGCCGAGTTTGTGATAATCCGCTCATGGTGTGTTTTCTGCTGATGGTGCCTGTGTGAGTGGAATGTTGTGGGAGTGTGAGGGCGGACTTACCCACTAGGTCCTGGTCGTTGTCCCTGTGTGAAGCGCCAGTCGTTTTGAGGAGGTTTTTGCTGCAACAAATAGAAAAAAAGACGCAACATTTAAACAGTGCAAAGATTTGGCAACAGTAAAATACATTGTGATGTTGGTTGATGGTGTGTGTGGTCATGTGTGTTGTTTTCCAAATATGAGTACTTACTTATGCATATAAAAGGCAAATAGGCAGATAGTAACAGAAAAAAAGACAACGGATAAATTCTCCTAAAATGAGTTTAAACAATTGCGATACACACTAATCCAATCGAAAGAGAAGAATTGAATCCCCAGTGTTGGATTTAATACTTAAAGTGAAGCAACCTTTTCCAGATAACTCATTTTAGTCATTTTACTAAACTTGATCTATTTTGGAGAAATAACTGAGCCAGGGACAGACAGCATGTATCTTTAAACTTCTCTCCCTCCTAAATATGCACAATCTATATTCACTCCTGTCTGTGCGCAAGTTTATTGTAAATGAAATCTCAATAACAAAATAATATGAGGATAATGCCCCCACACACACATGGCTCTGGATCTAATAGCAGCTGGAAGTAGAAGAATACTCAAAGCGGTATTATCAGTAACATTTTGTTTTGAGTGTGATCAGTCTAAACTCTTGATGAACTCATGCACGGTAAACCACGGCACAGATCTCGTCCTGAGCACGGCTGCCCATCTCACAGCATCTCTCCCCTCTCCCACACGTGTTGGCACTAATCGAAACATGAAGACTCCCCAGAGAGACAGAGATGCTCGTGAGATGATAGGCTGCACTATTAAATGAGTTGGTCACAGACAGAGAGGCGCAGACGAGCGCATGGCCAGCCTCACATCAGCTTCAGGATGAGTAAATGAAGGCACTGGTCGACAAAGACAAAAACTGTAGTACTGTAGTAGTTATTTTGTTTTAAACATGCAAAGCCACAATTCACCACAGCAGCTCCAACTGAAACTCTGCAACAACTACACACGGTCACTGCAAAGCTGAATACTACAAACTGCTTCATTTCACAGTTCTATATATTATTCAACTTCTGATATGATGAGGGAAGAACATGTAGGACTGAGCAAACTGGGCGTCTGTACAATGCTTATAATCGTTCTAAACCATTTGAAATGTTAATATTGAGCTTTTTTCAGTAAACTGTTTGGTTACAATCAATTTAAATCAGACCAATCTATGTCCAACGATAGTGGTAGTAGTTTTGCTCTCGATGGACATTTTGAGAGTAGAAGAGCAGAACCCCACACAGAGACCCAACATTCCATGAGTGTGACACATCAGACAGATACTGTATCAATGATCAGCCGGAGAAACAGCCCACAGTCTTTCAGATTTATATATATATATAAAATATGGATGTGGATGTATATATATACATAAACAAGAAGGCAGCACAAACGCATCATTATGTAAAATGTCAATAACATAATCAGCAACTGTAAATCACAAATTCAAGAGTTGGATTACAAATACCTTTACTAAGGGAAAAAAGGAGTATCAATTCAACTGTGCATATTTAAGAATTCCCAACATTCACTGTGCGTCAGTCTATGATAGATTCAACAAGTACAGTGATGTTGTAGAAGCTGCCTGTCTGACGTGTAAGTCCGTGTTGTATCTAGCTCCACTATCTCTCTCCTGTGCTGGTGTTTGAAAGGCACACTGAGCCACAGAGGCAGATGGCAGCCAGCTGACCTCAGGGTTTGCCAATTCAGCTCTGACTCACTAGGATACAAAGGCCGGATCAAATATGATGTTTAATGCATTTGCCTTGAGGAGAACTTATTAGAATGACTGTGTCACGTGAGCTGCTTTGATCAAGTGCTGAAAGTAATAACCAAGACAGGTTCAGGCCTTTGGTGCAGTATACTCTGGTTTCTACTATAGATGTACTGGGTCTGTCTCTAAGCTTATTGCAGTCCTCTCAGGGTCTATAATTTCAACAATAAAACGGTCTCTATAACAATTTCATCCTTCCAATATAGATTCATGATATGTATTTTACACAAACATGTGTGTTGTTTCTGTTGGCCCCGTCAGAGCCGTGCTCACCTCACTCACAGAGTTCATAAGGTGCTGCTTGCTGAGCGTCATGTTGAGTGTGTTGTTTTGACTCAGCATAGGCGTCTTCATGAATACAAAGTCACTTCTGCTGGATAAGGTGGAGTAGCAGGGTCTGTAGGTGCGCGTGTGAGGGTCCTGGGGGCCACCCACCACCTCCATATACCGTATAGGTCCATCTGTGTTTAGCTGTAAGTGAAGGTCTTTGCTGGGTCTCTGATGATAGCGGCTGGTTCTCGGCTCAAAGCAGCAGCAGTCAGAGTCTCCCAACCCTGGGCTGCGGTGCCGGAGGCAGCGCACCATTAGCACCACAAAAGTGATGAAGGAGACTCCAGACACACAGGCCAGAGAAATTATGAGGTACAGGGTGATGTTTGGCATCCCAGAGGGGTGGTAGAAGGGTTTGTGGCGGGGGAGCACAGGAGCTTCATTGACTGGGCTCTTCTCATCAACAGTCACAGTGATGTTGACAGATGTAGACCTTCGTGGGTCTCCACTGTCCTCAATGATTATTGTGATGGGGTATGACTGTCCTGCCTCCTCCTCAGCCCATTTATGAGCAATTCTCAGTTCCCCACTGTGAACTGCTATGCGAAACATCCCCACATGTGGCCCAGGTGCAATGGAGTAGACTACCCAAGCATTAAGGCCACTGTCTGCATCTATGGCTACAAGTTTATTAATGAGGTGTCCGGGGCCAGCAGACGGGGGTACTGAGAACTGAAGGCCCATTTCTTTAGGATTTGCAGGATGTATCAATACAGGGGCATTGTCATTTACATCCACCACAAACACGTGGACTGTGACATTGGCTGTCCTTGGGGGCACACCAGCATCCTGTGCCTGCACCTCAATACGGAACACATTGAGCTGTTCATGGTCCAAAGAGCGCATGCTAAAGATGTGCCCATTCTCTGGGTTGATGTAGACATAAGAGGAGATGTGTGAGCCCTGAACCATGGAGGGGAGGATAGAGTAGGAGACTCTAGCATTGTCCCCTATGTCTGGGTCCGTGGCTGTTACAGTGGTTATAGGGGCACTAGGGGCATTGTTTTCAAGAATGTCCACAGAGTATGAGCTCTGGGAGAAAGTAGGGGCATTGTCATTGACATCAGTTAACTTGACCACAAAGGTGGCTTGTGATGACAGCCGAGGGGATCCTGCATCAGTGGCCCTAATCACTATTGTGTACTCGGGAACTTTCTCTCTGTCCAGAGCTCTCGCTGTGGTCAGTCTGTAATGTGTGCCAAAAGCTGCAGAGAGTTTAAAAGGCAAACCTTGCTGAACACTCAAAGTCACCTCTCCATTAGGACCAGAGTCGAGGTCTCTGGCACTTAGAAGAGCTATGACTGTGTCTGGAGGTGCATCTTCTCTGATTGGACTGATGGGGGATGTCAGTGTTACCTCAGGGGCGTTATCATTGACATCAAGAATATCTACTATGACGTTGCAGGAGCCTTCCATCGCAGGTGAGCCTCCATCTCTCGCCTGGATTGTAATGTGATAAGAAGTGGCTTTCTCATAATCCACATCGCCCTTCACTCTGATTTCCCCAGATTTAGCATCTACACTAAAATGTTTGAGGACACGTTCAGGTGTGTATTTGCTAAACAGAAAAGATACCTCTCCATTATTGCCCGAGTCAGAGTCTGTGGCATTGATTTGTGTTACTAAAGTGCCTAATGCCACATTCTCCAAAAGTGTCACTTTCTTAACTGGCTCGTCAAAGACGGGAGCATTGTCATTTACATCCAAGAGTTTAATGAGTAAAAGTGTGGATCCAGATTTTTCCGGCTGACCCCCATCCACAGCAGTGAGCAGCAGGCGGAACGAGGCCTGCGTCTCTCTGTCCAAAGGTTTGTCCACCACCAGCTCTGGGAATTTGCTGCCGTCACTTTTAGTCTCTACGTTTAGAATAAACAGATCGTTGGCTTCAAGGTGATACGTGCGTAACGAATTTGTACCCACGTCCGGGTCGTGCGCGCTCTCCAAACGAAACCTTGTGCCCGGGGAAGCCGCCTCTGATATCTCAAGGGAGATGTTAGTGGTTGTAAAGTGCGGTGCATTGTCGTTCACGTCCAGAATTTCCACTGCCACACGCAGCATTTCTAACGGATTTTCCAAAAGTATCTGAATAGGCAGTGAGCAAGTTGGACTTAACTCACACAATTGTTCTCTGTCGATTTTTTGTTTTATTACTAAGTCGCCAGTGGCTTGTTTTACCTCAAAATACTGTGTCGTACTGTCCGGAACAACTCGCAAACTCCTCTGAACAATCCGCTGAGCAGTAAGATCCAAATCTTTCGCGATGTTTCCAACAACTGAGCCGGGGCTCAGTTCCTCCGACACGGAATAGCTGAGCTGAGCGGACGCAGAGCTGAGGCAGCTCAGATAGAAGCAGAGGCTGAGCAGCGGCCCCTGTCCTCCGCGGCGCCTCCTCTGCTGCGAGCCCATTGTGCTGCGCTCCCGCGGAGAAAGGAAAAGTTTGGAGCCTTCACCGCAACATTTGTATAATCCAATTCAGCCGCTGGTGCCATACACCACGATGGAAAGATGTGTAGACAAGACTTACGCGTGTTTCTAAAGTTATCATTGTAAACTACTAACGTAAGTAATCCGACACAAACTTAAGAGCCATGTCCCCTCCAACTCTCAGCTCAGTCTCCGGCGCCTCGCAGATCACGTGGGCGGAGACATGCAACAGGCCAATCCTACTTTTGGGAAAACTGGGCTGAGCTTCCACAAACACACACTCCCACACAGCAGAGCTCCACTGTCTATGTGTGCCACACAAATATATTAAAACTATTTTAAAAGTTATTCGTAAAGTGACAAGAACAAAAAATACGTGGAACAAAATGACAATGATTTATAAGTGAAGAAAGTAGTCTATTGATACAATTGGACTAAAACAGGCCACATGAGCCAACTCTCCCATTGACAAGCATTACTGTGTGTCCACACGGTGGCACAATATCCACTAAAGCAGCCTAAGCAAAAAAGTGTTAAAAACATGTAGCCTGTGGACCTATAAACATGGTATTGGCCCGAGCATGATAACATCAGCTATGTTCTCACCTGCTGACTCTCAAAGGTCCACGTGCTGTCTGGCAGAGACGCGTCCAGGACACTGATGACCTCCTTAAAGTCAGAGGTGCTGCTGGGCTTAATCAGAGTGAAGTCACTGTACTCTGACATTGGAGACATGCAGGACCTGAACGACTGACTCTGGGACATCATGTCTCCCCCCAGGACCTCAACATACTTTATAGGGCCGTCAGTGTTGAGCTGGATCTGCAAGTTTCTGTTGGGGTTCTTGTAATCATCACAGTCACTGTGTCTGACGCAGCAGCTGCCCCTGCTGCTCTTCACACATTTCACCGCTAAGATGAGAAACGTCACCAGAGACAGCACGGACACAGAGGCCAGAGACAGGATCAGGTAGAGAGCGAGGCGGCCAGTTTTCCCGCTGGACTCCGCTGCTTTGTGCCTGATGTCCAGGATGGGCTCGTGCAGACCGTCCTCCATCAGGATGGACACCGTGACGGTGGCGGACTGCACCGGGTCCCCGTCGTCCCTGATCTCTATGAGCAGCCTCTGAGAGGAGTCGTCCTGCTCGACCACAGCGCGTTTAGTCCTCACCTCCCCTGTGTACTGGTTCACAGTGAACAGAGACGCGTCCGTGGCCTCCGCCACTTTGTACGAGATCCACGCGTTATGGCCCGAGTCTGCGTCCACGGCCGTCACCTTTGTGACCAGGTGAGCCGCTTTAGCGGAGCGGGGCATCCTCTGGAGAGAGAGGGAGCCCAGGCCCGCGGAGGAGGGGTAGATGACAGCGGGGGCGTTGTCGTTCAGGTCCAGGATAAACACGTGGACTGTGGCGTTGCTGCTGAGGCTCGGAGAGCCCTGGTCCTTGGCCTGGACCAAGATCTGAAACACCTTGAGCTTCTCGTAGTCAAACGAGTGCATGCTGTAGATGCTGCCGTTCTCTGAGTTGATGTAGACATAAGACGAGACTGACACGTCCTGCACTTTAGACTCTAGAATAGAGTACGTCACTTTGGCGTTTTCTCCAAAGTCCAGGTCTGAGGCGGACACTGAGTACAGTATAGAGCCAGGGACCCCGTTCTCTTTTAAATACACATTATACGAGGACTGTGAGAAGACTGGAGGGTTGTCGTTCACATCTGAGATACTGACAGATATCGTTTTCTGACTGGAGAGAGGAGGAGAGCCCGCGTCTGTGGCTGTTATCTCCACGTTATAATATGGGAAACTCTCTCGGTCTAAAGGACCGCTTGTTATAAGTGCGTAATTGTTTGAATAAGACGGTTTGAGAGAAAAAGGTGTCCCTTTAGGGAGAGTTAGCTGAACTTTTCCGTTTTCACCGGAGTCTAAATCCCTCGCATTAATCAAAGCCACGACAGTTCCACTTGGCGCGTCTTCTCGCACTGGTTTTGGCTGAGAAGTTAATACTATTTCAGGTATATTGTCATTGACGTCACTGATTCCAATGTGGACAGCACAGTGACCTTCCATTTCTGGAATACCTTTATCTTTTGCAGTTATATCAATATTATACGATTTCGATGTTTCATAATCTAATTGTCCCTTTAATGTTATTTCGCCAGTTAAGTTGTTGATATCAAAGATTGTAAACACAGTTGAGGGAGTTCGGGAACCAAAGGTGAATTCCATGTCACTGTTGACACCTTCATCCGCGTCTGTCGCTTTGGGCCTGATGATAACAGACCGACGTTTAGAATTTTCTTTGATAGATACCTGATAGTTATTTTTTTCAAACACGGGCGCATTATCGTTTGTATCCATAACATTTATAAGTATTTGGGAGGTTCCAGACCTGACTGGATTACCGCCATCTAACGCTGTCAGTAGAATGGTATGAACGGCAGTTTTCTCTCGATCTAATGGTTTCTCTATAACCAGCTCTGGGACGCTTTCCCCTCCCGCCAGTTCTTTAATTTTAAGTGAACAGCAATCATTTTTGCTTAGAGTGTATGACTTAAGGGAATTTCCCCCAACGTCTGGGTCCTCTGCGCTTTGTAAAGGAAAACGTGATCCTACAATAACCACTTCAGGTATTTTTAAAGTTGACACATTTGAAGTAAAACTGGGAGAATTATCGTTAATATCTCGTATTTCAACCTCTATTCTGTGCAGCTGCAACGGATCCTCCAGGACCATTTGCAGAGGTAGAATGCAGCTTGCGCCCTGTCCACATAAAGCCTCTCTGTCTATTCTGTCGTTCACCACCAGCTCACCCTTCCGCGAGTCCACAGTGAAATACTGCACTCCCGTTTCAGAGGCAACCCGTAATTTGCGCTCAAAGATCTCTGACAATCCCAAACCCAGATCTTTGGCCAGATTTCCAACAACAGACCCCCGCTTTAGCTCCTCTGCAATGCTATACCGAGTCTGTCCAAATGTCGTACTCCACAAATGCAAGAGATAAAACCACCAAAGCAGCTGCCACCTCCAGTCCCTGATCCCCATGTCTCCGTTGTCTCCTTGTATTTTCAGTGCAATATAGTTCCAAAACGATAAAAGTCAGAATAATGCAAAATCCATTGTTGCATTTTCATTGTGGTCGATATCCAAAATGATCATTTCTCGTGAATAAAGCCAAGAACACGTCCTCTACTCCCCCCATCACAGTCAGCTTTGTGGATTGGTGCTGAAGCTGAGAGCGGAGGGGAGTAGATCTCTTTGTACAGTGCGGAGTGCTATTGGCTGAAAGGAAGGCCCAATCAGGAGCGAGGAGGAGAAGCAGGGCAGGGATACAGAGCGTCATTCTACCATCAATGAACATGTTGAAACATATCACTGTGAACCAAACAGATGTATAATCTACAGTATAGTATAAAAGAAAACAAGAATTGGATTAGTTGAATATAAACAAAAGCAATAGGATCAGAGGCCTATAATAATAACAATAAAAATGAAAAATATAATAATAATAATACATACTCATAAGTATGAATAGTATCACTATTGTTATTATTGTATACGCAACTGTCAATAACAGTTTATAATTTAATAAAATAGTAAATGCAAAGTATGCACAAATGCAGTAAAGGCAAAGTAAGGACCTACATAATATCAGTCCAGGATGTGGACAAACGTACACCACAGACACATTCTGAGAACTGTTTCGAAGTTTGTGAAACATGAAAATACACTATTATTATCCTTTGTTCTGGAAAAGAATAAGACTATATTATGAGTGATTAGGTTTGATGAGTAACTATATTCTAAACTGTCGCTGTCCACAGCAGTGGTGCTGAACTTTCTTATTCGCATAACACGAGGAACATTACAGAACATAAAGATTTAGTTTCTGTTTTTTTTTTTTTTGTTAGACCCTATGCTCATGTTCTCACCTGCTGACTCTCAAAGGTCCACGTGCTGTCTGGCAGAGACGCGTCCAGGACACTGATGACCTCCTTAAAGTCAGAGGTGCTGCTGGGCTTAATCAGAGTGAAGTCACTGTACTCTGACATTGGAGACATGCAGGACCTGAACGACTGGCTCTGGGACATCATGTCTCCCCCCAGGACCTCCACATACTTTATAGGGCCATCAGTGTTGAGCTGGATCTGCAGGTTTCTGTTGGGGTTCTTGTAATCATCACAGTCACTGTGTCTGACGCAGCAGCTGCCCCTGCTGCTCTTCACACATTTCACCGCTAAGATGAGAAACGTCACCAGAGACAGCACGGACACAGAGGCCAGAGACAGGATCAGGTAGAGAGCGAGGCGGCCAGTTTTCCCGCTGGACTCCGCTGCTTTGTGCCTGATGTCCAGGATGGGCTCGTGCAGACCGTCCTCCATCAGGATGGACACCGTGACGGTGGCGGACTGCACCGGGTCCCCGTCGTCCCTGATCTCTATGAGCAGCCTCTGAGAGGAGTCGTCCTGCTCGACCACAGCGCGTTTAGTCCTCACCTCCCCTGTGTACTGGTTCACAGTGAACAGAGACGCGTCCGTGGCCTCCGCCACTTTGTACGAGATCCACGCGTTATGGCCCGAGTCTGCGTCCACGGCCGTCACCTTTGTGACCAGGTGAGCCGCTTTAGCGGTGCGGGGCATCCTCTGGAGAGAGAGGGAGCCCAGGCCCGCGGAGGAGGGGTAGATGACAGCGGGGGCGTTGTCGTTCAGGTCCAGGATAAACACATGGACTGTGGCGTTGCTGCTGAGGCTCGGAGAGCCCTGGTCCTTGGCCTGGACCATGATCTGAAACACCTTGAGCTTCTCGTAGTCAAACGAGTGCATGCTGTAGATGCTGCCGTTCTCTGAGTTGATGTAGACATAAGACGAGACTGACACGTCCTGCACTTTAGACTCTAGAATAGAATACGTCACTTTGGCGTTTTCTCCAAAGTCCAGGTCTGAGGCGGACACTGAGTACAGTATAGAGCCAGGGACCCCGTTCTCTTTTAAATACACATTATACGAGGACTGTGAGAAGACTGGAGGGTTGTCGTTCACATCTGAGATACTGACAGATATAGTTTTCTGACTGGAGAGAGGAGGAGAGCCCGCGTCTGTGGCTGTTATCTCCACGTTATAATATGGGAAACTCTCTCGATCTAAAGGACCACTAGTGACAAGTGCATAATTATTAGAAAAAGACGGTTTCAGATTAAAAGGAACTCCAACATCTAGTTTTAAATTTACTTTACCATTATCTCTCGAGTCTAAGTCTCTGACATTGATTAAAGCCACGACAGTTCCTTTGGCTGCGTCCTCGCGCACTGGAGAAGGAGTGGAAGTCAGAAGGATTTCGGGAACATTGTCATTTATGTCAACTACTGTAACCTGCACACGACAATGTCCCTGCATTCTTGGAACACCTTTGTCCTTTGCTGTGATTCGTAAATCATAAACAGAACTGAACTCATAATCCAACTGTCCTAACAGTGATATTTCACCGGTCACCGCATGTATTTGAAACAACGATAGAAACGTCCGTGATGTGTGCTCCGCAAACGTGTATTGAACCTCTCCATTCGCGCCTTCATCTGCGTCTGTAGCAGCGACTGTGACTAAAACTGTCCCTGACAGTGTGTTTTCTGGAACAGTTAAATTGTACAGTGGCATTAGAAATACAGGGAAATTATCGTTAATATCAAGTACTGTAACTACAATCTTCATCGTTCCACTTTTCACAGGATTACCTCCGTCTAATGCTGTCAGTAGTAATTCATGAACTCCTTGTTTTTCTCTGTCAAGTATTTTGTCTAAAACCAGTTCTGGAGTCTGAAGACCTCCAGACAACTCTTTATTTTTTAGACTAAAACAGTCACTTTTACTCAAACTGTAAGACTTTACGGTGTTTCTGCCTACATCCGGATCCTGAGCTGTTTCTAACGGGAAACGCGCCCCTACAACAGTGGACTCTGCTATTTCTATCACGTGTTGTTTCGTTATGAACACTGGTGAATTATCATTAATGTCTCGTATCTCGACTTCTATCCGATGGAGCTGTAGTGGATTTTCCGTCACGACCTGCAGAGGCAGCACGCAGCTGGCGCTTTGTCCACATAAAGCCTCTCTGTCTATTCTGTCGTTCACCACCAGCTCACCCTTCCCCGAGTCCACAGTGAAATACTGCTTCCCAGCCTCAGCAGCGACACGCAGCTTACGGTCAAAAATGTCTGTTAAACCTAAACCAAGATCTTTGGCGATGTTTCCAACCACAGAGCCCTGCTTCAGTTCCTCTGGGATGCTGTAACGAGTCTGTGCGTCTGTCAAGCTCCACAAGAGAAAAAAATAATGCCACAAAAGCGTCCGCCATGCCACAGATCCACGACCCATCCTTTCTGTCCTGATGGTTCCTCAAAACAGACCAAATGTCAAATAAACAGTCAGCCCATAATTCCTTTCATTGACAAATAAACTCCAGTTCGTGGTGCATTTTTAAAAGCAAGAATATCCCATAATAGTCCAGTACAAAGCAGCGCATCTCCTCACTGAACAACACTGACTGGAATTATGGCTGTAGCACTCAGCAGCAGAGGACTAGATCTCTTTGTACATGCGAGGCTCCTATTGGCTGACAGCAGCTAACATCACTGTCCAATCACAGAGCAGGTTCACCAGTGCACCACATACTCAGCAGCAGCTTCATTCCAGGAGGCAGCTTGTTGTTAAAATTCACCAAAAGGAACAACATTAATACATATATAAAAAATAAGCTTGACCGTTAACTTCCAATGCCTATATACAAGTAAAAATATATGAAGAACTGTCTATTCTAAGTGTAAAGAATTTAAATGGAAGGGAAATTATTGATAAAAAATGTCATAATACTATATTTTTCAATTCAAAGAGCATATTCGAACTAGGACAATATGATCCACATTATAACTCATATTAATAGTCATTTTGTGATCAAATTAATACCATTAATATTGATAATAATATAATATTAAATTAATATTCTACGTAGAGTATTTGGATTATTATTGCTTTTGTTTAAATGTGTTTGAAAAATACAAGACGACTAAATATCACAAATTTAGAGCCGCTGACTACTGCAATGGTGCTGAAACCAATATCTCTATAAGTATCAAATAACACACAGTATAGTTCAGTGTAAACATGTTTATTAGACATATTTATGTTTCTATCTTTTACCTTACTTTAAAAACTGTACTAAGTACTACTTCGGAACATTGTTTTGTTGGTTACACATATATAAAGCATCACTTTCATTTATTTTGAATTAACTTTATTTGGTTATACATACTATCTTTTTTACCACGGAGAATAGAAAAAAATAGATACGTTTTTGTTTTGTTGAACCCTTTTTACTCATGATCTCACCTGCTGACTCTCAAAGGTCCACGTGCTGTCTGGCAGAGACGCGTCCAGGACACTGATGACCTCCTTAAAGTCAGAGGTGCTGCTGGGCTTAATCAGAGTGAAGTCACTGTACTCTGACATTGGAGACATGCAGGACCTGAACGACTGGCTCTGGGACATCATGTCTCCCCCCAGGACCTCTACATACTTTATAGGGCCGTCAGTGTTGAGCTGGATCTGCAGGTTTCTGTTGGGGTTCTTGTAATCATCACAGTCACTGTGTCTGACGCAGCAGCTGCCCCTGCTGCTCTTCACACATTTCACCGCTAAGATGAGAAACGTCACCAGAGACAGCACGGACACAGAGGCCAGAGACAGGATCAGGTAGAGAGCGAGGCGGCCAGTTTTCCCGCTGGACTCCGCTGCTTTGTGCCTGATGTCCAGGATGGGCTCGTGCAGACCGTCCTCCATCAGGATGGACACCGTGACGGTGGCGGACTGCACCGGGTCCCCGTCGTCCCTGATCTCTATGAGCAGCCTCTGAGAGGAGTCGTCCTGCTCGACCACAGCGCGTTTAGTCCTCACCTCCCCTGTGTACTGGTTCACAGTGAACAGAGACGCGTCCGTGGCCTCCGCCACTTTGTACGAGATCCACGCGTTATGGCCCGAGTCTGCGTCCACGGCCGTCACCTTTGTGACCAGGTGAGCCGCTTTAGCGGAGCGGGGCATCCTCTGGAGAGAGAGGGAGCCCAGGCCCGCGGAGGAGGGGTAGATGACAGCGGGGGCGTTGTCGTTCAGGTCCAGGATAAACACATGGACTGTGGCGTTGCTGCTGAGGCTCGGAGAGCCCTGGTCCTTGGCCTGGACCATGATCTGAAACACCTTGAGCTTCTCGTAGTCAAACGAGTGCATGCTGTAGATGCTGCCGTTCTCTGAGTTGATGTAGACATAAGACGAGACTGACACGTCTTGCACTTTAGACTCTAGAATGGAATACGTCACTTTGGCGTTTTCTCCAAAGTCCAGGTCTGAGGCAGACACTGAGTACAGTATAGAGCCAGGGACCCCGTTCTCTTTTAAATACACATTATACGAGGACTGTGAGAAGACTGGAGGGTTGTCGTTCACATCTGAGATACTGACAGATATAGTTTTCTGACTGGAGAGAGGAGGAGAGCCCGCGTCTGTGGCTGTTATCTCCACGTTATAATATGGGAAACTCTCTCGGTCTAAAGGACCACTAGTGACAAGTGCGTAATTATTAGAAAATGACGGTTTTAAATCAAACGGAGTTTTCCATTTTAGCTTTAATAATACTTTACCGTTTACACCCGAGTCTAAGTCTCTTGCACTGATTAAAGCTACAACAGTTCCTTTGGCTGCGTCTTCGCGCACTGGAGAAGGAGTGGAAGTCAGAACTATTTCTGGAATATTGTCGTTAATGTCAATAATCCGGACCTGTACTCGACAATGTCCCTCCATTTCAGGGACTCCTTTGTCCGTAGCTGTAATTCTAAAATCATAAACGGGACTGAGCTCGTAGTCCAGTTGTCCCGTTAGAGATATTTCACCAGTCTCTGAGTTTACCTGAAACATCGACTGCAAATTCTGCGGGGTATGTAGAGAAAATGCATATTCAACCTCTCCGTTTGCACCAGCGTCCGCATCTATGGCTTCTACTTTCACTAATGCAGTTCCCGGTAGACTGTTTTCAGGGATTGTTAGATTGTAAACAGGTTTAGCAAAAAATGGAATGTTGTCATTGTTGTCTAATACTGTGACTCTTATTTTCATCGATCCACTTTTAACAGGATTACCTCCGTCTAACGCAGTTAACAGCATTTCATGAACACTTTGCTTTTCTCTATCAAGAATTTTCTCTAAAACCAGCTCTGGCGCCTGGAGACCACCGGGCAAATCTTTCATTTTAAGACTAAAACAGTCACTTTTACTCAAAGTGTAAGACTTAACAGTGTTGCTGCCCACATCAGGATCTTCAGCAGTTTCTAACGGGAAACGGATTCCTACAACTGTCGATTCTGCTATTTTTAAGACGTGATCCTTGGTCACAAACACTGGTGAATTATCATTAATGTCTCGTATCTCGACTTCTATCCGATGGAGCTGTAGTGGATTTTCCGTCACGACCTGCAGAGGCAGCACGCAGCTGGCGCTTTGTCCACATAAAGCCTCTCTGTCTATTCTGTCGTTCACCACCAGCTCACCCTTCCCCGAGTCCACAGTGAAATACTGCTTCCCAGCCTCAGCAGCGACACGCAGCTTACGGTCAAAAATGTCTGTTAAACCTAAACCAAGATCTTTGGCGATGTTTCCAACCACAGAGCCCTGCTTCAGTTCCTCTGGGATGCTGTAACGAGTCTGTGCGTCTGTCAAGCTCCACAAGAGAAAGAAATAATGCCACAAAAGCGCCCGCCATGCCACAGATCCACGACCCATCCTTTCTGTCCTGATGGTTCCTCAAAACAGACCAAATCTCACATATACAGTCAGCCCATAATTCCTTTCATTGACAAATAAACTCCAGTTCGTGGTGCATTTTGAAAAAGCAAGAATATCCCATAATAGTCCAGTACAAAGCAGCGCATCTCCTCACTGAACAACACTGACTGGAATTATGGCTGTAGCACTCAGCAGCAGAGGACTAGATCTCTTTGTACATGCGAGGCTCCTATTGGCTGAGAGCAGCTAACAACACTGTCCAATCACAGAGCAGGTTCTCCAGCGCACCACATTGCAGCAGCAGCTTCATTTCCTCAAGCAGCTTATTGTTATTATTCACCAAAAGGTAGAAAAAGAATACATATAAAATTTAACCTTACCAATAAAACCTTGCTTATGCCTGTATAGGTTTAAAATACATGACAACATGTACATCCTATATATAAGGAAATTACATGCATGGAAAAATATTGATTTGAAATGGGTCACATTACTATTCATTTTCTTTCAATGTGTATAGACCAATATTATCCACATCATAACTCATTATAATATTCATGTTGTGATAATATACATAACATTGATAATGATAAAAAAGTAACAATGAATAAATACAAAATTCTACATGGAGTATTTGTATCATTATTCTTTTTATTTATAAAAATCAAGAGAACTAAACATCACAAAGGGAGAGCCGGTGACAACTGCAGTGGTGCTGAAACCAATTTATCTATATATTAAATTACATACAGTATAAAAAACACTCATGAAATAGGGGAATAGAGAAAAAGCTAAACGTATCTGAGTTATATTTTACAAACTGCATTTAGGCTCCTGTGAACTCACAACCTGTAGGAGGATCAGTGAGGGGCTGGTGCTACTGGGTGCAGCTCTGACTGCCCCCCCGTCCCCAAAATGGATTAAGGAGAAGAAAATGGAAAGATTGATGGAAACTACATTTACTAAAATATATCGGAATCTTGCAGTGTTGGTTTCACATATCGCCATCTCTTCAATTTATTTTGAATTAACGTTATTTGGTAACAAGCCATTTTTAAAACTAAAACTTTGACGTCGAACCTTCACTTTTACATGTGAAGGTAAACGTGTATGTCAACTGTGTGAGAATGAATACGTTCCTTCTCTCAAAACACCGTGGAAAAACAACACCAACATATGAAAATCATGTTTATGTGTTGTGCTATATGTGTGTGTCTATCAACAACAAATCTAAAGATCACAAAGCCAAGCTCGCTGTCTACCCTTGTGGTAATGAATCACACCCCTGTCTCTACAAACACATAGAAAACACTACAGAACATCTCTTTGTGCTCATGATCTCACCTGCTGACTCTCAAAGGTCCACGTGCTGTCTGGCAGAGACGCGTCCAGGACACTGATGACCTCCTTAAAGTCAGAGGTGCTGCTGGGCTTAATCAGAGTGAAGTCACTGTACTCTGACATTGGAGACATGCAGGACCTGAACGACTGGCTCTGGGACATCATGTCTCCCCCCAGGACCTCAACATACTTTATAGGGCCGTCAGTGTTGAGCTGGATCTGCAGGTTTCTGTTGGGGTTCTTGTAATCATCACAGTCACTGTGTCTGACGCAGCAGCTGCCCCTGCTGCTCTTCACACATTTCACCGCTAAGATGAGAAACGTCACCAGAGACAGCACGGACACAGAGGCCAGAGACAGGATCAGGTAGAGAGCGAGGCGGCCAGTTTTCCCGCTGGACTCTGCTGCTTTGTGCCTGATGTCCAGGATGGGCTCGTGCAGACCGTCCTCCATCAGGATGGACACCGTGACGGTGGCGGACTGCACCGGGTCCCCGTCGTCCCTGATCTCTATGAGCAGCCTCTGAGAGGAGTCGTCCTGCTCGACCACAGCGCGTTTAGTCCTCACCTCCCCTGTGTACTGGTTCACAGTGAACAGAGACGCGTCCGTGGCCTCCGCCACTTTGTACGAGATCCATGCGTTATGGCCCGAGTCTGCGTCCACGGCCGTCACCTTTGTGACCAGGTGAGCCGCTTTAGCGGAGCGGGGCATCCTCTGGAGAGAGAGGGAGCCCAGGCCCGCGGAGGAGGGGTAGATGACAGCGGGGGCGTTGTCGTTCAGGTCCAGGATAAACACATGGACTGTGGCGTTGCTGCTGAGGCTCGGAGAGCCCTGGTCCTTGGCCTGGACCATGATCTGAAACACCTTGAGCTTCTCGTAGTCAAACGAGTGCATGCTGTAGATGCTGCCGTTCTCTGAGTTGATGTAGACATAAGACGAGACTGACACGTCCTGCACTTTAGACTCTAGAATAGAGTACGTCACTTTGGCGTTTTCTCCAAAGTCCAGGTCTGACGCAGATACTGAGTACAGTATAGAGCCAGGGACCCCGTTCTCTTTTAAATACACATTATACGAGGACTGCGAGAAGACTGGAGGGTTGTCATTCACATCTGAGATACTGACAGATATAGTTTTCTGACTGGAGAGAGGAGGAGAGCCCGCGTCTGTGGCTGTTATCTCCACGTTATAATATGGGAAACTCTCTCGGTCTAAAGGACCACTAGTGACAAGTGCGTAATTATTAGAAAATGACGATTTTAAATTAAACGGAGTTTTCCCTTTTAGCTTTAATATTACTTTACCGTTTACACCCGAGTCTAAGTCTCTTGCACTGATTAAAGCTACAACAGTTCCTTTGGCTGCGTCTTCACGCACTGGAGAAGGAGTGGAAGTCAGAACTATTTCTGGGATGTTGTCGTTTATGTCTAATAATAATATTTGCAAACGACAATGTCCCTCCATTTCAGGAACTCCTTTGTCCTTTGCTGTAATTCTAAAATCATAAAAGGGACTGAGCTCGTAGTCCAGTTGTCCCGTTAGCAATATTTCGCCAGTCTCTGAGTTTACCTGAAACATCGACAGAAAATTCTGCGGGGTATGTAGAGAAAATGCATATTCAACCTCTCCGTTTGCACCAGCGTCCGCATCTATGGCTTCTACTTTCACTAATGCAGTTCCCGGTAGACTGTTTTCAGGGATTGTTAAATTGTAAACAGCTTTAGCAAAAATTGGAATGTTGTCATTGTTGTCTAATACTGTGACTCTTATTTTCATCGATCCACTTTTTACAGGATTACCTCCGTCCAACGCGGTTAACAGCATTTCGTGAATACCCTGTTTTTCTCTGTCAAGCATTTTCTCTAAAACTAGCTCTGGCGCCTGGAGACCGCTGGATAAATCTTTCATTTTAAGACTAAAACAGTCACTTTTACTCAAAGTGTAAGACTTAACGGTGTTGCTGCCCACATCAGGATCTTCAGCAGTTTCTAACGGGAAACGGATTCCTACAACTGTCGATTCTGCTATTTTTAAGACGTGATCCTTGGTTACAAACACTGGTGAATTATCATTAATGTCTCGTATCTCGACTTCTATCCGATGGAGCTGTAGTGGATTTTCCGTCACGACCTGCAGAGGCAGCACGCAGCTGGCGCTTTGTCCACATAAAGCCTCTCTGTCTATTCTGTCGTTCACCACCAGCTCACCCTTCCCCGAGTCCACAGTGAAATACTGCTTCCCAGCCTCAGCAGCGACACGCAGCTTACGGTCAAAAATGTCTGTTAAACCTAAACCAAGATCTTTGGCGATGTTTCCGACCACAGAGCCCTGCTTCAGTTCCTCTGGGATGCTGTAACGTGTCTGTGCGTCTGTCAAGCTCCACAAGAGAAAGAAATAATGCCACAAAAGCGTCCGCCATGCCACAGATCCACGACCCATCCTTTCTGTCCTGATGGTTTCTCAAAACAGACCAAATCTCACATATACAGTCAGCCCATAATTCCTTTCATTGACAAATAAACTCCAGTTCGTGGTGCATTTTGAAAAAGCAAGAATATCCCATAATAGTCCAGTACAAAGCAGCGCATCTCCTCACTGAACAACACTGACTGGAATTATGGCTGTAGCACTCAGCAGCAGAGGACTAGATCTCTTTGTACATGCGAGGCTCCTATTGGCTGAGAGCAGCTAACAACACTGTCCAATCACAGAGCAGGTTCACCAGTGCACCACATACTCAGCAGCAGCTTCCTACTAGCAGGAAGCTTCTTGTTAATATTCACCACAAAAAAAACATTCATATATTACAAAAAATAAACTTTACCTGTAACATCTTGCCAATGCCTATATACAAGTTAAAATATATGAAGAACTATCTATTCTATGTGTAAAAAATTTAAATGGAAGGGAAATTAAAGATAAAAAAGGCCAAACTATAATACATTTCATTTCAAAGTGGATAATCGATCTAGGACAATAGATCCACATTATAATTAATATTCATTCTGTGATCAAATTAATATATTTAATATTGATAACAATATGATATTAAATGAATACAATATCATTTATTTTTTTTAAATGTGTCTAAAAAATACAAGCGGACTAGACATAAAAAATTTAGAGCCGCTGACCACTGCAGTGGTTCCGAAACCAATCTCTCTAAGTATTAAATAACATACAGAACATAATGTAAACATGTTTATCAGACATATTTATGTTTACATCTTTTTCCGCTACTGTGATCAACACTGTACGAGGATCAGTGAGGTGGTCTACTGGGAACCTCTGATTCTCCGTCCCAAATGGTTAAGACATAAAATGGAAGATGATGACACTACCATTTATTTTGATATATCGAATCTTGAGTTTTGGTTTCACAATCGCCAATCTTCATTTATTTTGAATTACGTTTTTTAACAAGCCATTTTTAAACTAAACTTTGACGTTAACCTCACTTTTACATGTGAGACGGTATGCAACTTTGAAATGATCGTTTCTCTCAAACACGGGAAAAACACACCACATATGAAATCTTTTTGTTGTGCTATCTGTGTGTCTATCAACCAATCTAAGTCACAAGCCAAGCTGCTGTCTACCTTGGTAAAGAATACACCCTGTTCTCTATTAACTGTAGAAAACACTCCTTTTTACTCATGTTCTCACCTGCTGACTCTCAAAGGTCCACGTGCTGTCTGGCAGAGACGCGTCCAGGACACTGATGACCTCCTTAAAGTCAGAGGTGCTGCTGGGCTTAATCAGAGTGAAGTCACTGTACTCTGACATTGGAGACATGCAGGACCTGAACGACTGGCTCTGGGACATCATGTCTCCCCCCAGGACCTCCACATACTTTATAGGGCCGTCAGTGTTGAGCTGGATCTGCAAGTTTCTGTTGGGGTTCTTGTAATCATCACAGTCACTGTGTCTGACGCAGCAGCTGCCCCTGCTGCTCTTCACACATTTCACCGCTAAGATGAGAAACGTCACCAGAGACAGCACGGACACAGAGGCCAGAGACAGGATCAGGTAGAGAGCGAGGCGGCCAGTTTTCCCGCTGGACTCCGCTGCTTTGTGCCTGATGTCCAGGATGGGCTCGTGCAGACCGTCCTCCATCAGGATGGACACCGTGACGGTGGCGGACTGCACCGGGTCCCCGTCGTCCCTGATCTCTATGAGCAGCCTCTGAGAGGAGTCGTCCTGCTCGGCCACAGCGCGTTTAGTCCTCACCTCCCCTGTGTACTGGTTCACAGTGAACAGAGACGCGTCCGTGGCCTCCGCCACTTTGTACGAGATCCATGCGTTATGGCCCGAGTCTGCGTCCACGGCCGTCACCTTTGTGACCAGGTGAGCCGCTTTAGCGGAGCGGGGCATCCTCTGGAGAGAGAGGGAGCCCAGGCCCGCGGAGGAGGGGTAGATGACAGCGGGGGCGTTGTCGTTCAGGTCCAGGATAAACACATGGACTGTGGCGTTGCTGCTGAGGCTCGGAGAGCCCTGGTCCTTGGCCTGGACCACGATCTGAAACACCTTGAGCTTCTCGTAGTCAAACGAGTGCATGCTGTAGATGCTGCCGTTCTCTGAGTTGATGTAGACATAAGACGAGACTGACACGTCCTGCACTTTAGACTCTAGAATAGAGTACGTCACTTTAGCGTTTTCTCCAAAGTCCAGGTCTGAGGCGGACACTGAGTACAGTATAGAGCCAGGGACCCCGTTCTCTTTTAAATACACATTATACGAGGACTGCGAGAAGACTGGAGGGTTGTCGTTCACATCTGAGATACTGACAGATATCGTTTTCTGACTGGAGAGAGGAGGAGAGCCCGCGTCTGTGGCTGTTATCTCCACGTTATAATATGGGAAACTCTCTCGGTCTAAAGGACCACTAGTGACAAGTGCGTAATTATTAGAAAATGACGGTTTTAAATTAAACAGAGTTTTCCCTTTTAGCTTTAATATTACTTTACCGTTTACACCCGAGTCTAAGTCTCTTGCACTGATTAAAGCTACAACAGTTCCTTTTGCTGAGTCTTCGCGCACTGGAGAAGGAGTGGAAGTCAGAACTATTTCTGGGATGTTGTCGTTTATGTCTAAGACTACAATCTGCACACGACAATGGCCCTCCATTTCAGGAACGCCTTTGTCTTTGGCCGTAAGTCGCAAATCAAACACTGGACTGAGCTCGTAGTCCAGTTGTCCGGATAATGATAATTCACCAGTGTTTGAGTTTAATTGAAATAAAGACATATATGTCTCCGGTGTGTGCTCCGCAAACGTGTATTGAACCTCTCCATTCACGCCTTCATCTGCGTCTGTAGCAGCGACTGTAACTAAAACTGTCCCTGACAACGTGTTTTCTGGAACACTAACATTGTACAGTGGCTTCTTAAAAACAGGCAGGTTGTCGTTAATATCAAGTACTGTAACTACAATCTTCATTGTTCCACTTTTTACAGGATTACCTCCGTCTAATGCTGTCAGTAGTAATTCATGTACACTTCGTTTTTCTCTGTCAAGCATTTTGTCTAAAACCAGCTCTGGAGTCTGAGAACCTCCAGACAATTCTTTCATTTTTAAACTAAAACAGTCACTTTTACTCAAACTGTAAGACTTTACGGTGTTACTGCCTACATCTGGATCCTGAGCTGTTTCTAAAGGAAAGCGAACCCCTGCAACTGTAGATTCAGCTATTTTCAGTGACTTCTGTTTTGCAACAAACATTGGTGAATTATCATTAATGTCTCGTATCTCGACTTCTATCCGATGGAGCTGTAGTGGATTTTCCGTCACGACCTGCAGAGGTAGCACGCAGCTGGCGCTTTGTCCACATAAAGCCTCTCTGTCTATTCTGTCGTTCACCACCAGCTCACCCTTCCCCGAGTCCACAGTGAAATACTGCTTCCCAGCCTCAGCAGCGACACGCAGCTTACGGTCAAAAATGTCTGTTAAACCCAAACCAAGATCTTTGGCGATGTTTCCGACCACAGAGCCCTGCTTCAGTTCCTCTGGGATGCTGTAACGAGTCTGTGCGTCTGTCAAGCTCCACAAGAGAAAGAAATAATGCCACAAAAGCGCCCGCCATGCCACAGATCCACGATCCATCCTTTCTGTCCTGATGGTTCCTCAAAACAGACAAAATGTCACATAAACAGTCAGCCCATAATTCCTTTCATTGACAAATAAACTCCAGTTCGTGGTGCATTTTGAAAAAGCAAGAATATCCCATAATAGACCAGTACAAAGCAGCGCATCTCCTCACTGAACAACACTGACTGGAATTATGGCTGTAGCACTCAGCAGCAGAGGACTAGATCTCTTTGTACATGCGAGGCTCCTATTGGCTGAGAGCAGCTAACAACACTGTCCAATCACAGAGCAGGTTCACCAGTGCACCACATACTCAGCAGCAGCTTCCTACTAGCAGGAAGCTTCTTGTTAATATTCACCAAAAGAAACAACACTAATACAAAAAATAAGCTTTACCTATAACATCCAATGCATATACAAGTTCAAATACATGAAGAACTGTCCATTTAAATGTGTAAAGAATTTAAATGGAAGGGAAATAGATGATAAAAAAACACCATAACACTATATCTTTCATTTCAAAGAGCATTTTCGAACTAGGACAATATGATCCACATTATAACTCATACTAATATTATTTCTGTGATCAAATTAATACCATTTATACTGATAATAATATAATATTAAATTAACACAATATTATATGTAGAGTATTTGTGTTATTAATTTGTCATCTAAATGTGTCTAAAAAATACAAGAGGACAAAATATCACAAATTAGGAGCCGCTGACCACTGCAGTGGTGCTGAAACCAATCTCTCTAAGTATTAAATAACATACAGTATAGAACACAGTAAACATAAATCAGACATATTTATGTCTACCTTTTTCCCGTACTTTAAAACTGTACTAAGTAATATTTTGGAACCTTGTTTTGTTGGTTACACATATATAACCATCACTCCCATTTATTTTGAATTCACTTTATTTGCTTATACACACTATCTTTTTTGACTGAACCTCATCATGTGAAGGAAAACAATTACCTTTATTTCCTTCTCTCTGGACACCACGGAGAATAGACAAAAAGAAAGATAAGTTTTTGTTTTGTTGAACCCTTTTTACTCATGTTCTCACCTGCTGACTCTCAAAGGTCCACGTGCTGTCTGGCAGAGACGCGTCCAGGACACTGATGACCTCCTTAAAGTCAGAGGTGCTGCTGGGCTTAATCAGAGTGAAGTCACTGTACTCTGACATTGGAGACATGCAGGACCTGAAACGACTGGCTCTGGGACATCATGTCTCCCCCCAGGACCTCCACATACTTTATAGGGCCGTCAGTGTTGAGCTGGATCTGCAAGTTTCTGTTGGGGTTCTTGTAATCATCACAGTCACTGTGTCTGACGCAGCAGCTGCCCCTGCTGCTCTTCACACATTTCACCGCTAAGATGAGAAAACGTCACCAGAGACAGCACGGACACAGAGGCCAGAGACAGGATCAGGTAGAGAGCGAGGCGGCCAGTTTTCCCGCTGGACTCCGCTGCTTTGTGCCTGATGTCCAGGATGGGCTCGTGCAGACCGTCCTCCATCAGGATGGACACCGTGACGGTGGCGGACTGCACCGGGTCCCCGTCGTCCCTGATCTCTATGAGCAGCCTCTGAGAGGAGTCGTCCTGCTCGGCCACAGCGCGTTTAGTCCTCACCTCCCCTGTGTACTGGTTCACAGTGAACAGAGACGCGTCCGTGGCCTCCGCCACTTTGTACGAGATCCACGCGTTATGGCCCGAGTCTGCGTCCACGGCCGTCACCTTTGTGACCAGGTGAGCCGCTTTAGCGGAGCGGGGCATCCTCTGGAGAGAGAGGGAGCCCAGGCCCGCGGAGGAGGGGTAGATGACAGCGGGGGCGTTGTCGTTCAGGTCCAGGATAAACACATGGACTGTGGCGTTGCTGCTGAGGCTCGGAGAGCCCTGGTCCTTGGCCTGGACCAAGATCTGAAACACCTTGAGCTTCTCGTAGTCAAACGAGTGCATGCTGTAGATGCTGCCGTTCTCTGAGTTGATGTAGACATAAGACGAGACTGACACGTCCTGCACTTTAGACTCTAGAATAGAGTACGTCACTTTAGCGTTTTCTCCAAAGTCCAGGTCTGAAGCGGACACTGAGTACAGTATAGAGCCAGGGACCCCGTTCTCTTTTAAATACACATTATACGAGGACTGCGAGAAGACTGGAGGGTTGTCGTTCACATCTGAGATACTGACAGATATCGTTTTCTGACTGGAGAGAGGAGGAGAGCCCGCGTCTGTGGCTGTTATCTCCACGTTATAATATGGGAAACTCTCTCGGTCTAAAGGACCACTAGTGACAAGTGCGTAATTATTAGAAAATGACGGTTTTAAATTAAACGGAGTTTTCCCTTTTAGCTTTAATATTACTTTACCGTTTACACCCGAGTCTAAGTCTCTTGCACTGATTAACGCTACAACAGTTCCTTTTGCTGAGTCTTCGCGCACTGGAGAAGGAGTGGAAGTCAGAACTATTTCTGGGATGTTGTCGTTTATGTCTAAGACTACAATCTGCACACGACAATGTCCCGCCATTTCAGGAACGCCTTTGTCTTTGGCCGTCATCGGTATTTCATAAAATGGGCTGAGCTCAAAGTCCAGTTGCCCTACTAAAGATATTTCACCAGTGTCTGAGTTTAATTGAAACAAAGACATATATGTCTCTGGTGTGTGCTCCGCAAACGTGTATTGAACCTCTCCATTCACGCCTTCATCTGCGTCTGTAGCAGCGACTGTAACTAAAACTGTCCCTGACAGTGTGTTTTCTGGAACACTAACATTGTACAGTGGCTTTAGAAATGCAGGGAAATTATCGTTATTATCAAGTACTGTAACTACAATCTTCATCGTTCCACTTTTTACAGGATTACCTCCGTCTAATGCTGTCAGTAGTAATTCATGAACAGCTTGTTTCTCTCTGTCAAGTATTTTGTCTAAAACCAGTTCTGGCAGTGGTCGTTGACCAGGCAACTCTTTCAATTTTAAACTAAAACAGTCACTTTTACTCAAACTGTAAGATTTAAGAGAATTACTGCCTACATCCAAATCCTGGGCTGTTTCTAAAGGAAATCGTGCCCCTGCTACAGCCGATTCAGCTATTTTCAGTGACTTTTGCTTTGTTTTAAACACTGGTGAATTATCATTAATGTCTCGTATCTCCACTTCTATCCGATGGAGCTGTAGTGGATTTTCCGTCACGACCTGCAGAGGCAGCACGCAGCTGGCGCTTTGTCCACATAAAGCCTCTCTGTCTATTCTGTCGTTCACCACCAGCTCACCCTTCCCCGAGTCCACAGTGAAATACTGCTTCCCAGCCTCAGCAGCGACACGCAGCTTACGGTCAAAAATGTCTGTTAAACCCAAACCAAGATCTTTGGCGATGTTTCCGACCACAGAGCCCTGCTTCAGTTCCTCTGGGATGCTGTAACGAGTCTGTGCGTCTGTCAAGCTCCACAAGAGAAAGAAATAATGCCACAAAAGCGCCCGCCATGCCACAGATCCACGACCCATCCTTTCTGTCGTGATGGTTCCTCAAAACAGACAAAATGTCACATAAACAGTCAGCCCATAATTCCTTTCATTGACAAATAAACTCCAGTTCGTGGTGCATTTTGAAAAAGCAAAAATATCCCATAATAGTCCAGTACAAAGCAGCGCATCTCCTCACTGAACAACACTGACTGGAATTATGGCTGTAGCACTCAGCAGCAGAGGACTAGATCTCTTTGTACATGCGAGGCTCCTATTGGCTGAGAGCAGCTAACACCCCTGTCCAATCACAGAGCAGGTTCACCAGTGCACCACATACTCAGCAGCAGCTTCCTATAGCAGGAAGCTTCTTGTTAATATTCACCAAAAAAAACAACATTAATATATTACAAAAAATAAGCTTTACCTGTAACATTCATATATACAAGTTCCATTACATGAAAACCTGTCCATCCTATGTGTAAAGAATTCAAATGGAAGGAACATTATTGATTAAAAAGGCCAAACTATTATCCTTTTTTTAAATTCAAAGTGCATTTTTGAATAATACGATCCAAATTATAACTCAGATTAATATTCATTCTGTGATCAAATGGATACCATTAAAGTAATAGTATGTAGCTCTAAATTAATTTCACATTTTAAGAATTGTAGTAAATTGACCTCCTGGCCTTAAATGTTGATGTAAAATAAGTAATTTTATTAATTCTAATATTACAGTTAAGTCCCGCCTTCCCTTCTCTTAGTTATAGCTCAGAATCCGCGATGCCGTCCACGTTAACCAATCGAGGCATGCCAAGGGCTGTCAATCATCGGCGCTGATGCTCGCAGCTGCGCGCATGCTCAGTGGTTTGTTTTCGCAGATCCTCCGAATCAAGCCTCTATTAGGCTCTGGAACTACATGAAAACTGAACAAAGAATTCTGAACATCCGCGCTGAGGTACTTATGTATTTACTGAACCTATATCCATAATCAGATCCTCTGCAGAGGTGTCCTATAATGTTCAATTCATGATAATAGCTTCTTCCGGGTTTGACATGTTTTTTTGTGCATTAAAACATTATTTTTTTCATGAAAACGTTAACAAATAATTCTGAAAACCTTCGTGCACTTGTATTAATAATGTATTTAATGTGTTCTCTGATTAACATTTAAAAGTGTTACGGAAACGTAGGCGTAGACCAATCCGAAAGGAAGGGGGAGGGAGCTTGCGTCGTGTTTTTTTTTTTTTCAAATCAAGTACCTCTCTCTCTCTTTCTGACAAACTGCAGACAATCAATTTCATATTGACAATAACATAATATTAAATGAATACAATATTCTACGTAGAGTATTTGTATCATTATTATTTTTATTTAAATGTCTCTAAAAAATAAAAGAGGACTAAATATCACAAATTAGGAGCCGCTGACCACTGCAGTAGTGCTGAAACCAATCTCTCTAAGTATTAAATAACATACAGTATAGAACACAGTAAACATAAATCAGACATATTTATGTTTACCTCTTTTCCCTCACTTTAAAACTGTATATTTTGGAACCTTGTTTTGTTGGTTACACATATATAACCATCACTCCCATTTATTTTGAATTCACTTTATTTGCTTATACACACTATCTTTTTTAACTTAACCACAATCCCACTTTGACGTTGAACCTCATCATGTGAAGGAGAACAATTACCTTATTCTCTCTGGACACCACGGAGAATAGAAAAAAGATATGTTTTTGTTTTGTTGAACCCTTTTTACTCATGTTCTCACCTGCTGACTCTCAAAGGTCCACGTGCTGTCTGGCAGAGACGCGTCCAGGACACTGATGACCTCCTTAAAGTCAGAGGTGCTGCTGGGTTTAATCAGAGTGAAGTCACTGTACTCTGACATTGGAGACATGCAGGACCTGAACGACTGACTCTGGGACATCATGTCTCCCCCCAGGACCTCCACATACGTTATAGGGCCGTCAGTGTTGAGCTGGATCTGCAAGTTTCTGTTGGGGTTCTTGTAATCATCACAGTCACTGTGTCTGACGCAGCAGCTGCCCCTGCTGCTCTTCACACATTTCACCGCTAAGATGAGAAACGTCACCAGAGACAGCACGGACACAGAGGCCAGAGACAGGATCAGGTAGAGAGCGAGGCGGCCAGTTTTCCCGCTGGACTCCGCTGCTTTGTGCCTGATGTCCAGGATGGGCTCGTGCAGACCGTCCTCCATCAGGATGGACACCGTGACGGTGGCGGACTGCACCGGGTCCCCGTCGTCCCTGATCTCTATGAGCAGCCTCTGAGAGGAGTCGTCCTGCTCGGCCACAGCGCGTTTAGTCCTCACCTCCCCTGTGTACTGGTTCACAGTGAACAGAGACGCGTCCGTGGCCTCCGCCACTTTGTACGAGATCCACGCGTTATGGCCCGAGTCTGCGTCCACGGCCGTTACCTTTGTGACCAGGTGAGCCGCTTTAGCGGAGCGGGGCATCCTCTGGAGAGAGAGGGAGCCCAGGCCCGCGGAGGAAGGGTAGATGACAGCGGGGGCGTTGTCGTTCAGGTCCAGGATAAACACATGGACTGTGGCGTTGCTGCTGAGGCTCGGAGAGCCCTGGTCCTTGGCCTGGACCAAGATCTGAAACACCTTGAGCTTCTCGTAGTCAAACGAGTGCATGCTGTAGATGCTGCCGTTCTCTGAGTTGATGTAGACATAAGACGAGACTGACACGTCCTGCACTTTAGACTCTAGAATAGAGTAAGTCACTTTGGCGTTTTCTCCAAAGTCCAGGTCTGAGGCGGACACTGAGTACAGTATCCTCCCTGGAGGACAGTTCTCCTGGACATACGTAACATACTTTGAGTGGGAGAACGTTGGCGGATTATCATTTATGTCAGATAGATCCACTTCTAATATTTTTTCTACTGTTAAAGACGGTCTACCGAAATCAGAGGCCCTCATCTTCATTCTGTAGCGGCTACTCTTCTCTCTGTCTAGGGGCCCGCTGGTAACTAACGAGTAATGGTTGGAGTCAGATGGGTTTAATTTAAAAGGAGACCCAGAGGATAATGTCAGCGTTACTCTACCATTGTCACCCGAGTCTACATCCCGGGCACTTATCAACGCGATAACTGTCCCCACTGCTGAATCTTCTGGAACTGGAGAGGTCAACGACTTCACTATAATCTCAGGAGCATTGTCGTTTACGTCTATTATTTTAATCTCTACACTGCAGTGTCCGTCCATCTCGGGATTACCTTTGTCTTTCGCAGTTACATCAAACCTGTGTACAGCATTAGATTCGTGGTCCAGTGAGCCTTTCACTACAATGCTACCAGTGAATGGTTTAATTTCAAATAACGACAACGTGAGATCCGTGGTTTGATCTGCGAAATAATATTCGATGTCTCCGTTTAACCCCTCGTCTATATCTGTCGCTTTAACAGTTAAAATGTCTGCACCAGGTGCTGCTCTCTCGCTGACATTGGCCTCATAGACATTTCTCTCAAACTCAGGCGCATTGTCGTTTATATCAAGCACTATAATCGTAATCTGCGTTGTACCAGAGCGCACGGGATCTCCGCCATCTACAGCAGTGAGGATAAGGTTGTGAATTGGTTGCTTTTCACGATCAAGTGCTTTATCTAAAACCAATTCTGGAATTCTACGACCGTCCTTGTTGCTTTTAACAGCTATCTTGAAATGGTCATTTTTACTAATGATGTAAGAACGCACAGAGTTAGAGCCAACGTCGGGGTCTTGTGCGCTTTCTAAAGGGAATTTTGCGCCTGGATTGACCAACTCTGCAATTTTTAAAACTTTCTCCTTCGTGATAAAATGCGGTGAGTTGTCGTTTGTGTCCTGTATCTCTATTTCGACCCTGAATAATTGCAGTGGAGCGTCTATCACCAGCTCCAGAGGCAGCACGCATGATAGCTTATGTCCACACAGTTCTTCTCTGTCAATCCGGTCCGTCACTATCAAGTCTCCTTTTCTCGAGTTCAGGGCAAAATATTGCTTACCATCTTGTGAGGCTATCCTAAGTTTTCGTTTGTCCAAATCAGATACAACCAACCCCAGATCTTTGGCGAGGTTTCCAACTGTAGATCCCTGCTTCAGTTCCTCTGGGATGCTGTAGCGCGTCTGCCCGGCTATTGTACTCCAAAAGAAAGCAGAGTGACTCCACCACAGAATCAGCTGCCATGAACACGCTTTGGTCCACATTATTTCTCCTTCCTCGAGTAACTATACAGCATCGTGAAAAGCAGGTGATTTATAATCCAATAACGAATCTTGATTTGCAGTCTTATAGCCTACATCATTTTGTCGGTATAAATCCGGCTCTTGAGCGCCACATCACCATTGTTACAGAACTGAAGGCACTGGGAGAAGAGTAGATCTCTTTGTAGAGGCGAATATGCCATTGGAGGAGCCGTAAAGGAGTTTCCACCAATGATGAGCAAAGACCGTCAGCATCACCGTGACGTAAGGGCGTAAGATCAGTGTGTGTTCTATCTCTCTCTATCTAAATACTGTATTGTAAATGCCCATTGAATATGAAAAATATGACTTTGTCGTCGTTGCAGCAATATAAGTACTACAATATATAAATTTAGTAATACTATATTATGAATGTCTAAAAACATTTAAGACAGCCAACAAAAACGAATTGATTTCATTCAATAACAGTGACTATTTGCCTTACAAATCTTAACTTGTTTTTAATAAATAATCAATCATTTTTTTCAATTATGAAAATACAATAACATAGTAAATAAATATATAAATGAGATAGTCTAAAATAGAAAAAAAAGAATAAGGTGTTAACCTTAAGGTGTTAACGAGAAAAAGTGGCATGACATGCTTCCATGGCAACACTCATGCGTGTGGCTCAAGGCTCACCGGTGCCTTCCTGTGGTCAGAGAGGGAAAATGCACCGTGCTCCTCTTCACAGATTAGATTAGAGCAGTGAGCGTGCACTGCACCAGGCAGCAGCTGACGTAAGTACCCGTATGGAGGTCTGTAGAGCAAAGGGAGAGAGGCGGGGGAGCTGCCAAGCATGATGCACGCTGATCCAGTGTTTCCTGAACTAAATACAACGTGTATCCATTATTTACATTTCCTCATCCGAAATGTCAGAAATGAACCACATGTATCATTATTTTAATATTTGTGTAATGTTTAAAATACCATACAGTTGCATTTTATGTTCAAAATCATGACGATTTTGAGAATACAAACGTGTTTCAGTATTGTCTCGTAATAAAACGAGTCAAAATCTCACCGTAAATAGAGCTACTCAAATCACAGCAACAACAAAAAATGAGGTGCAAGAGAAGAGCACTTTGCTGTTCCCACTACAGGCAGCAGGGGGAGATGTGCAGAGCCGACATCTACAGCACAAGGGAGAGGGAGAGGTTTCAGCACCACGGAGGTGGACAGCGCCACACAGGCGGACAGCAGCTGCTGCTGCAGCCTCAAGCGCTCATCAGAAACTGCCGGCTGTCAGTACAGCACAACTATTACTACACTTATTATCTTGACTTTTCCTGAAAGAGGACTAAGGACACACACTTATTTGCAATGCTGAACCATGTATGTAGATTTTTATTTATGCATGCCTTCTTGTTTTTAAGATAAGATAAGATAGACTTTATTGATCTCACACAGGAGAAATGTACATGTCACATCTGGCATGGATAGAAACACTCAAGATTGTGCAAAAGAAAGAAATGTGCAAACATGTTAAATGCAGGATATATTATGTACAACAAAAGTGGCAAATTAAAAAGTGGCAATCAGGGAACAGTGTCAATAGTAGTGCAGGTTCTTTTCAGTCTTATTGCAGTGACTTAAAGTGACTTGTTGTACAGTCTGACAGCGGTGGGGATAAAGGCCCTGCGGTACCGCTCCTTCTTGCACTGAGGGTGCTGCTTTCACTTGTTTGCACGGCGAGCCAAAGCAATTTCCTAGTTTGTGACTTCCTGTTACTCACATGGCAATAAAATGATTCTGATTCTGATTCTGATTTTGATTATCAATACAACTTTCAAAATACACATCTAAAACATCACTTTGAATAAGAACCAGTTACATACAGGATGATGTATTAAACCGGCTGAAAATAGAGTGGTGGGACATCAGACCAGCACATTTGACTGAAACATTTAAATAAAACCTTGCCATTCAGAAGACAAAACATGTGTATAAGCTGTCTTTATGTGCTCATAACATTGGTATATTGTTATTTATATACTGTATGTTTTGTACTAAATTAAACAGTGTCATAATAAGGGCAGACCATAAATTATAACCAGCAGTGTATTAAAAGCTATTTGTTATGATTGAAAACTGCTGCCACAGATGTCAAATCTTCCCCTGTTCATTTCACATCATACAAACAGAAGTACGTGATTGTCCACAAACACCACACGCGTGTTTGAGTCTGTCGAGCAAAAGGTGTTCCTCTGGATAATCTCTGTTTTTGGCTGGAGCTAAAGACAGATTAGAAAACTAAAACACAGTCAACATTATTCTATTACAAATGTCGCTGACAAATAATGTAATCCTGTTCATAGTTTAATGTCTCTATTGTTGAGATCATGCTAAGAATGCTACCTAGAAACCACGTAAAAAACCAGCTCAACACTTCTCTAATGTAAAAATATTATTTGAAAAACAAAAAAGACGGATATACAAATTCTAAATAGGAAAAAAAAGGAAAATCATACAGATTCATTGCACATTCTATATTTCAAGTTTTTGTTAACAGCTTCCTGACATTTCACAAAGCAGTAAATGCACCTTTAAGTTGTATGAATCAATAAAGTGTCCTGTTGTAATCGTTCCAAACTTTCCCATGAGTCCAACAGCATGAGGTTCTACTTCAGTTCACTGCTCCATATAGTGAACAACATTATAATTCATATTTTCCTGAACAAGTGTCATTTCCTCAAATAAGATAAAAAAGATTTAAGATTGAGTTTATTTGCAATTTTCAGTAAAAATGCATTGAAATACCTGTGGTTTTCTAAAATCCTATGAACTGTCCACATTAATCTGACTTGTTTTAAATGGACCAGGTTTCCCCTACCACTAAAAACATGTACAATAGGTATGAATGTAAATGAGAGAGTGAATGGATGGTGTTGATTGGGGCTGATGCGCCAGTGTGTTCGGCGACTCGCTTCTGTGTGGAATGATTGGAACAATATCTGAACTCTGAGCATTGTAAAGTGCTTTGGATGACCTTGGTCTGTAAAATGCGCTATATAAATAAACATTGCTTACATTACATTACTAACCACAACAATTGCCCTTTATCTTATGAGAAAACATGTGTCCAATAATGTCCTCTGAGATAACTAATGTGAGGTCTTGAGTGTGACATTTGACAGATGTGTAAGTAAGAGCCTTTCCTGTCAATAATCGACTCTTTGGGCTCTGATCTAAAGATGTGATAAAACATGCAAATGAGAGCTTGTGATAGAAACCAGCTGTTTCGAAAATTATAAACTATTGATTTTTGTCTCTAGTTCATAATCCTATAGTTTAAAATGCAGGTACCCCATTATTAATGCAAACTCTTGTTTTGTGAGAAAAATGCTTAATAAATAAAGTTTGTGTTTATGGATTGTGTCAGAAATCAAAGGGAACAACTTTTTGTCTGATCCAAACAGACAAGACCATTTTACGATACGATACATTATCTGTCAATTGTGAAGAATGCAAATTTACAAATGTCATGAGTGTGTTTGGAAGTGTGCATTTATCAACCCTTGTACTTTTTGTTTTATACCTAACAATTTTTGTGCTTGAAATCAAAGTTGTTGCTTACCTTTAGTGGACAAGGCAGCATTTACAAGGACACGGAACAGCAGCGGCAGCAGCAGCAGCAGCAGCAGCGGCAGCAGCAGCAGCAGCAGCGGCAGCAGCAGCAGCAGCAGCAGCAGCAGGAGCAGGACATAAAAGAGAAAGACAAAAAAGAAGATTTTGATTAGAATGATTGTTCTGCAGACATTGAGTGGCAAAAAGGGAGTGAAAATAAACAAGATACTTACAAGATCTTGCAACAATTATTAATTTGACAGAAAAAGAAAGTGCTCATTGATGTGTTGATAGTATTGGTGAAACGTGTTGTAATGTTTTGTGTGTTTGCATATAGGAGAATACAGTAAATACTATGAGGCCTCACAGATAAAACATACGTAACACATACAGCTGTAGACGTATCTGCATGAAACACAAGTATTTTTGACATATTTGTTAGAAAGTAATGAAAGAAAGTATCATGCAATTGTCAACATCTTCAGGTTCAGGCTGTGTATAGCAAACGGAAATACTGCAGTTATTCAGCGGATATTATTCCCTTCACAAAAATAAAATGATGTTGTTGCGTATTCATTAAACAGACTATATATCACTGTAAATGTCAAAAAGAAGGTAATTACAGCTTGAGTTTAGCAATATTTCTCCTAATGCATGGCCAATGCATTAGGACATCTTTTTGTAAATGAATAAATATATATACATTTTTTGTAATTTCCTATTTCAAGGGAGAATTTGCATATTTACAGTGGAAATATTGTCTATCTAGATAAATACCACATTCTTCAAGCACTTAATCATATGTAATTAATATGTTTGAATTTTAAATCTGGACATGACCCATATATTACAGAGATCACATAATTCAAAAGTGCAATGTTTATCTGGAAATAAAAATATATCACTGATGACCAATTACTACTGTATATCTGTATATAAACATATTGACCAACAATTGATGGAATGAATGACGTATACTCTTCTAGATAGACATTTTTATGGCTAAATATTTTCCCCGAAGACCTTTTAATCAGAAAGAGAAATTGAATGTTATTTGGATTGTCCTACAATCATGTAATTGTTGTGGCATTAAAAGCAGGTTTATAATGTGGTCAAATATTTTTGTATATCACAATGTTTTTCTATCATCCATCAACATTTATTATTGTGACAGGCCTATACTTGAAGCCCTACCACAATTCTTAGTATTTGATTATGACGTGGTAAGGAATAACTGAACAGAAAAAATACATATTAAAGACATTTTCTCCTGATCTTTCAGCAGCTGCAAAATCTCATTGAAACAGAGCAATCATAGAGTTACCGTGCACTCAACAATACCATGCAATACGTGTCCTTCAATTTGTCTTTCATATTCTAACTTACATACCATCTGAATTACACACAACAATACACGAAAATAAAAAAGTGCAATGAATAAACACGCCTTTTCTAGTCTTAAACGGTTTATGCAGTGCCTGTGTTCATATAGGGAATAGATCTGCTGCTACCTCTTTCTGACAGCAGAGGGCCTAAAGGCGATGTCCACTCCTGTGCATTATTCATGTTTTCTTCTCCAGATGCACTTATATCTATTTTTTTTTTTACCAAACAACGCCTCTAAATAATACGCAGATTAATAATTACAACACGGAGCCCAAGAGACCAAACTGAAAATATATACCAATCACAAGACAAGACAGCAATCATACAAAAAACAGAATACTGCATTTCTTTTTGAATCAAAGAACACAGTATATGCCACGGTATTTTTCTGTCTACTCGCAGACAAAGCAGCTGTAATTGAGTATTTTCTTGTTTAGGTGTGGCAAATATACAGGGAAAGAACAAGTAGGATGGCTGACTGCTGTATTTTGAACAAAAAGCACAAGCAGCCATATTGAACCTCTCCCCTGCTTTCCTCCCTCATCCTCGCAGAACGCACTCCACACCTCAGCGCAAACGCAGGGGTGTCCTTTCTTCTCGACCCGTCACCACACACAGACAGCTACGCCGTCGCAGAAGCACATCCCTTCCGCCCTGTGGAAGTGGTACAGTCCTGCCCGTGAGTCAGCTTGTTTCCATGGCAACAAAGCCCACCTCACTCTCATCCCACCCTGCTGCCTTCTGCACCTCGTCTCACTAAAGCAAAACTGCGGTAAAATCAGATAGAAAAGCTGTTTCTGCTCAAATCACAGTTAAAGCAGGGGTACATCATTTTCAAACCACAAACAATGAACTACGTGATCAAATCCATTAACTATGTAAATGTAAATCTGTAATTTATTTATCCCTGAAGGGAACTTTTTAATTCAATTTGTTTGGATCTGTTTTTCCAGACAAACAAGTGAAAAAGATAGGACCATCCCTCACTCTGCGAATCTGCTCTCAGCCCAAAAGGGTCAAACAGTGACTCATAGGGCTCATTCTCACAAGAAATCAAAGCAGATCTAATACGACAACACGTGGCTACCATAGATTGTTTACAAAATGTGTCTTTTGAAAGACTCTCTGTCAGGACAACAATCAGGTTTACACCAGCTTTAAGTGAAGTAAAAATATGAACAAATAAATATCGGTGCAACCGTATGAGGTGAATACAAAGCTTATACGTTTAACTTATTCCCCCTTTGTTTCCAGCGACCAAAGAAACCCTAAAATGTATGTATGAAAGTGTGTTCATGTATGCATGTTTGTACCATGTATATTGTAAAGACTGTAAATTATGATTGTTGATTTTTTGTTTATAAGCTTGAAATAAATAAACAAAAAGTGAAATAGAAACAGACAATCCAGTCATATTACTGTATGCTCTGTATCACTGATATCACCACACATGGTTTATATGTGTATAACTAGAAAATATTGTATTTCGACAATTTCTTAGCTATATCAAGTGTCCAAAGAAGCAAATGTCTCTCCCTTTCTGCTTTCCCTTTTCTCTACTGCAGAGTGGTGCAGCTGGAGTGGAGAGGGGGAGGGGAGACTGCTCAGAAGAGAGGCACGAATGACTTAAACAACAAACTGCTGTATATCTTACACCCTGGCTTTTTCAGAAAGACGGGAAATGTGCGCCATAGAAATTACAAAGCAAATACAAATATAGGTTTTGTGTAAGGAAGTGACATCTTAAGAGTCCTGAAAACAAGAAAGCAAGGACAAGTAAATGCGTCATGAGCAAAGCAAAGTAACAGGACTTTACTGACCACTTCCACTTTGCCTAGAATGAAATGATGCACACAGATGGGACTGAAGCCACAGACGGTCAGAAGATTAAACCCAGTGATAAGTTTTATGCAAAATCAAAAATATATGTCCATAAGCACAAGCTTTTTAGTCAAGACATTGACTTTCTGATCCTGAAAGCAACACTCAATCAACTGCTGCTGCATGAAGCACCATCAGCATCAAATCACACATTGATGACACGTATCAGACCTTTGTGTTGTCAGAATATCATCTGAACTGTGAAGAATTTACAAAAGAAAATACACAACTATTCGTTTTGATCTTGTGTGATTCATATTCATGATGTTAACAGCTTGTGAAGAAAGAAATACCAGATATATACATTGCATTTGCATAATAAGGGTCTCTCCCTTATTCTCTAAAATTATATACAACGTAAAAGCACAGATACAGTATTGAGTCAACATTCCCAACATTTAAAAACAACCAATGAATAGTTGTTTTCGGAAGTACACTACAGTGAATAGTGTTGGTACATGGCATTTTTCTCAAGTATTAGAAAGTTCAAGGGAAATGTTCCATAGTTAATGTATTTCTTGTCTTTTCCTCTTGTGGTATATTTCATGACATTTTCCAGAATATTTTTTACAGAGAACAAATACAAAAAAACCAAAAACTATCAACACATCTCCTTCATTACGTGGGTTTGATGATAATTTTCTCATCTCATTAAAGAGTCGTTATAATTACAGTAGAAATATTTTCATTTTAATGATAAAAACCGTGTCACGGTCTGACAACCTTTGAAAGTCCTTTCATCACAAATAATAACAAACTCAGAAGCCTAGTATATTGTTTAAAAGTCCATTTACTTCTGTGATTCAACATACAATGTGAAACTTATATAGGGCAGACTAAGTACACACAAAGTGAGATATACCAAGCCTTTCTTTTGTTATAATGTTGATAATTATGGCTCATAGCTATGAAAACCCTGAATAAAGCATTGTGTGAGATTTTACTTTGAAGCAACTTTTGTTAAAGTTAAACTCATCATTCTATCAATGTGCAGAAGCCAGTACTTTTCCCTTGTTTTGTCTATCTGAAGGCCAAGCTACATGGCACCGTGGAAGCTGCTGATTGGAGGTCTCCATGCCTCCGCTCTGTATAATACACTTGCATTCTCTTGTATCTGTGATCGTGTGCTTTGTTCGTACTGTCTCTACCATCGACAATAAAACATGTCTTCTGTCTGAATGAAAGACGCGATCCCAGACATGTCATCTTCTTCAATTGCAGAAAGGATAATTTGGAAAAGGACTGTAATCCATAATCAACAACATTATAACAATCAAAGGCTTGGCAGTTGTCACTCTCATGTAATGTGTCTGTAAAAATGGTTTCACATTTTATGTTGCAGTACAGTAATGAACAAACATCTGAATGATAGTTGAAATTAGTTTTACCTGACACTAGTAGTGACTAGGGCAAATAGCACACAAGACATGGTTAAAGAACATGGTAAAAGAATAATTTCTTCAGTCAGCCGAGAGAAAACAAGCTTTGACTCTAGTCATAGACAACAGAACTCACAGTGCAACTCATGTCCATATGTATACCTAATGTGTTTTGCCATTACATACTCAATGAAATTATCCAACTATTAGTTCAACAAAGACAGCAGAACCTCAAAATGGCTTCCTACATCACAAACACAAATCAGGGATGGGAGAGACTCTACACCACGTGCTTCCTCCCCTCCCCCGCTGCATCACTTGCCCTCTATTCCCTTTCTATCAGACGAGCACCAGAAATGACTGCCACTCCACTCTCCCACACGACCGTCCCAATCACACACGAGAGGCAAAATCATCCCTTTGAACAGAAATGTGCCTCCATGTTTTGTTTAAAGCACGACAAGCATCCATCTAAACGGCTTAAAGCTCATGCCCCATGTAACGCAGGAACTAGGTCAGGGAAAATGTGACGCCCAGTGCAGGAGAGAGCCGATGAGAATGAATGGAAAAAGCCAGTGCTCATCTGCAGTCTCATTTTATGTAGCAGATAACAAAGCTTCAACTATCAATTTCATGAAATGGACATATAACAGAAAAATACCAAAAATATGATTTTTTATGGTATAATTAGGATTGTATATGACTGTGTACATATGAACTGCCTTTAACAAGTGAAAGTCAGTATATTATTGTTCAAAAGTACATTTTTCAACTTATAATGAAAAACTAATATATTACAGACTTATTACAAGGACAAATGTTTAAAAACCCAAATAAAATGGACTGTAACACACAAAGGCTTGGCTTTTGTCATTTTGAATGTAATATTACATTTTAGGTTAAATTCAATAAATAAATGAACTTTGAACAATATTTTTAACCGGTACAGAGTATAGATGACAACTGTCAAATGATAATACTACTACAGCAAAAAAATGCATCAAACAAGTCTCACCTCAACATATTTAGTTTCCATCTCTGACTTTAGCCTTGGCACTGTACTGGCGCCACTAAGGTCAAACGTTAGGCTGTTTTGACTGTAGGATCTTGGTGACTTCATATCACTCTTCCGCGAGTCTGTAGTTCCATACACTTCGTAGCTTGGGCCCTGCTTTATGGTGCCAGTTCCACCTACGTCTGCGTAAAGAGGTGGATAGTATGGGATCACAGGAAGATTCCCACTGGATTTATAAAAGAAACGCTCTTGTCTCCATCTGTAGATTTTCACTGAGATAATGACCACTACACACGTGATGAACAGAACGGAGACTACAGCCAGAGCCAGCACTAAGTAAAAAGTCAGGTTGTCATTGTACTCCTTGTCGTGCGTAAAGTCCGTGAACTCAGACAGTACTTCAGGAAAGCTGTCCGCCACCGCCACGTTAACAATGACTGTAGCTGAACGAGAGGGCTGCCCGTTGTCCTCCACTATAACAGCCAGTCTCTGTTTGACTGCATCTTTATCAGTCACTTGGCGAATAGTTCTTATTTCTCCATTCTGTGAGCCCACTTCAAACAGCGCCCTGTCTGCGGCTTTCTGCAGTTTATAGGAGAGCCAGGCATTCTGTCCAGAGTCCACATCCACAGCCACCACTTTAGTGACCAGATAGCCCACATCTGCTGAACGAGGCACCATCTCAGCCACCAGAGAGCCCCCAGTCTGGACTGGGTACAGCACCTGAGGGGCGTTGTCGTTCTGGTCCTGGACCAGGATCTTCACAGTCACGTTGCTGCTGAGAGGAGGAGAGCCTCCGTCCTGCGCTTTTACAGAAATGATGAAGTTTTTAATTTGTTCATAGTCAAGAGAACGGACAGCAATTATAGCTCCAGTCTTGGCATTCACTGAGAAATAAGATGATACTGTCTGTCCATTGGCCGGACTGTCTTCAAGGAAATAGGAGATATGCGCATTGTTCCCAGAATCTAGATCAGTGGCATTGACTGCAGTGAATGAGAAACCAGGTGCATTATTTTCTAGGATGAATGCTGTCACAGACTGTTGTTGGAACATTGGGGCATGGTCATTAACATCAGACAGTTTTAAATGTATTGTCTTGTTTGTAGAATGAGGAGGTGAACCCTCGTCTGTGGCTGTTATGGTTATGTTATATTCAGGCTCGGTCTCTCGATCTAAGTCATCATCTGTAACTAATGTATAGAAATTAAGAGATGACTTTTTAATTTGAAATGGTAAGTCTGAAACAATAAAACATTTGATTTGGCCATTTTTATCAGTATCTAAATCCTTTATGTTGAGCATCGCAACAACTGTACCTGGAGCAGAATCCTCCGGTATAGGGTTTGAAAGAGAGAGTATGCTTATAAAAGGTGCATTGTCATTAATGTCTGTAATTTCTATCAACACTTTGCACGTATCCATAAATCCACCTCTGTCCTTTGCTTCAACGTCAATTTCATAATGTTTAGCTTTTTCAAAATCTAACATACCAACAACAGCTATATGACCAGTCTGTGGGTTAATACTAAACAGAGCTGCGCCATCAGTATGCTGGGAGAAGGCATAGACCACATCTCCGTTTGATCCTTCATCAATGTCCGTTGCACTGACTCTTGTGATAACTGTGCCACTACTTGCATTTTCAGCGACTAAAACTCTGTACACAGACTGAGTAAATGTAGGAGCATTGTCGTTTGCATCTAAAACAACAACGTTTATTTTTACTGAGCCAGATTTTTGTGGATTGCCGCCATCGTAGGCAATCAGTGTTAATGTATGTGCCTCCTGAGATTCTCTGTCTAGAGCTGTGTGAAGAACCATTTCAATATATTTGGATCCATCAGAACGTGAAATAATATTTAATTTGAAATTTTCTGTAGGAATCAATTTGTATGTTTGAACAGCGTTATTTGCGGCATCGGGATCTTTGGCACTTTCAAGCAAATATCGAGCTCCAAGCAGCGTGGATTCAACAATGTCAAAACTATATTCATTTTTTGAGAAATGCGGTGCGTTGTCATTTATGTCTGTGATCTCTACGTCAATTCGATGCAGCTCCATGGGATTCTCTAAAATAATCTGGAAATAAAGCGAGCACGGTGAAATCTGCTCGCACAATTGTTCTCTGTCCATCCTTTTAGACACGACCAGCGTTCCCTTTTCGGAATTCAAACCAATGTACTCACTGCCGTCTTCTGTAAATATCCGAGCGCGTCCAGACTTTAGTCTCTGCGCATCCAAGCCCAAGTCAAGCACAATATTGCCGACCACGGAACCAGCGGCCAACTCTTCAGGTATAGAGTAGCGGACATGTCCACGCACAGAGTCTGCAACAAAGGCGCACACAAAAACACCCCACAGAGGCAGCAATCTTTGGTCAAAACCTCGACTATAAAACATCCTGGTCATATTCAGCAAGTTCCAAAACACGCCAAGGCAAGCTATTACAAAAAGAGCGAGCAGACCGAGAGGAACAGAGAAGAATAAATAGCAGGGTGCAGGAGAGGCGGATTGTGAAAGGGGATGACGTCAAAATAAGAAAAGCTTTTAACTCATCAATAGCGCCACTGTGAGGAAGTTAAAATAATTACAAACGAGATGAAGTAAGTCGAAAAAAAATATATATATATTTAAAGTATTGCATGCTTATTCATCACTCGTGGTGATGAGACAGAAATAAGTGAGAAACACGATCACAGTGTAATATGTGCTTTTCTAAAGGCATGTCTTCTTCACTCTTTTTCAATTAAGTAAGAAACATCAATAGATTAAGGTGTGAATTTGTACCCTAAGTACTGCTCTCCGTGGTTCTGAAACAGAGACACACACAACAAATGTCTAACCTCGAGAGGAGAGTCTGGCTCGTCCAGGATGCTCTTCTCACTCTGTATCCGCTGCATGGTTCCTGTTGAACTGGGATCCATTATCAGCACATTCTGACTCCCAGCTCTGCCAAACTTACAGTCACTCTTTCTGGAGTCTGTGGTCCTGCACGTGTCGTAATTGTACACGTGTGGGAGAGTCCCTGTGCCCAGAGTGTCTGAGTAACGCGGAGGATAATATGGGATCACTGGCAGATTGGAGTGATACAGGATGCGAGACTGTCTCCATCTGTAGATTTTCACTGAGATAATGACCACTACACACGTGATGAACAGAAAGGAGACTACAGCCAGAGCCAGCACTAAGTAAAAAGTCAGGTTGTCATTGTACTCCTTGTCGTGCGTAAAGTCCGTGAACTCAGACAGTACTTCAGGAAAGCTGTCCGCCACCGCCACGTTAACAATGACTGTAGCTGAACGACGAGAGGGCTGCCCGTTGTCCTCCACTATAACAGCCAGTCTCTGTTTGACTGCATCTTTATCAGTCACTTGGCGAATAGTTCTTATTTCTCCATTCTGTGAGCCCACTTCAAACAGCGCCCTGTCTGCGGCTTTCTGCAGTTTATAGGAGAGCCAGGCATTCTGTCCAGAGTCCACATCCACAGCCACCACTTTAGTGACCAGATAGCCCACATCTGCTGAACGAGGCACCATCTCAGCCACCAGAGAGCCCCCAGTCTGGACTGGGTACAGCACCTGAGGGGCGTTGTCGTTCTGGTCCTGGACCAGGATCTTCACAGTCACGTTGCTGCTGAGAGGAGGAGAGCCTCCGTCCTGAGCTTTGACGCACAACTGGAAATCCTTGATCTGCTCGTAGTCAAAGGAGCGCACTGCATGGATGACTCCGCTGTCTGCACTAACGGACACATATGAGGAGACTGGCACTCCGTTAACAGAGGAGTCCTCCAGTATGTAAGACACACGTGCATTCTGGTTCCAGTCAGCGTCTGTGGCTTTCACTGTGAATATAGAGAGGCCCGGGCTGTTGTTTTCTACAATGTAGGCCTCATACGAGCTCCTGTCAAAGACAGGCGCGTTGTCATTCACATCAGAGATGTGTAAGGTGAGAGTGACGCTGCTGGAGAGAGAGGGCACGCCCTCATCTGAACACGTGACTGTGATGTTGTACTGAGAAGACTGTTCTCTGTCTAAATTACCATCCGTCACTAAACTGTAGAAATTGTTTTTCGTAATTTTAAGATCAAAAGGAATATTTTCGTTGATAAAACACTGCACTTTCCCATTTTCATCAGAATCTACATCACGAATGTTTATCATAGTCACAACTGTGCCTGGTTCAGAGTTTTCGGATATCACACTGGTTTTAGATAAAACATGAATTGCGGGAATGTTGTCATTCACGTCTGTGATGTCAACAAAGACCTTGCACGAGTCTACGAGCCCTCCGTCGTCACTTCCGCGGACACTAAATTGATAGGTTTTGGCCTTTTCATAATCAAGGTTTCCTTTTAGAATAATTTGACCACTTTGGGGATGTATTTCGAATAAGCTGCGAACTTGATCTGACAAAGTTGACACGGAATATGTAATTTTCCCATTAGATCCCTGGTCTGCGTCAGTCGCAGTCACTGTTATCACTACTGTTCCGAGGGGCGCATTCTCCTTTATGGACGTTTTATAAACTGGTTTTGTAAAAACTGGAGCATTGTCATTGGCGTCTAAGACAGTGATTAGAATCTGCATTGTTCCAGACATCTGTGGCTCTCCTCCATCTAACGCAGTCAAAACTAAAGACAAGTGCTCACTCTTCTCTCTGTCGAGAGGCTTCTCTAAAATCATTTCAACATTTTTAGATCCATCTGCTTGATCATATAATTTAATTTTAAAATTGTCTCTTGGTTCGAGTCTATACGTCTGCAATCCATTTACACCGACATCATAATCAACTGCACTATCTAATTTGAATTTAGCTCCATTTACAACAGATTCACTGATTTTAAAATGTACTTTATCTTTTTCAAATAAAGGTGGATTATCGTTCACGTCTCTGATTTCAACAGTAACGCTGTAAATCTCCATAGGATTCTCTAAAATAATCTGAAATTCTAACGCACACGTTGCAGCTTGTCCGCACAGCACCTCTCGGTCTATCCTTTCTTTAACCAGCAGCACTCCCCTGTCGTTGTTCAGATCCAGATATTCACCGGTTTCGTGGGTAAAAATACGCGCTTTTCTTGATTTCAGCCTCTTTATATCCACACCCAAATCCTTTGCAATGTCCCCCACAACATAACCTTTCGGTAGTTCCTCCGGGACAGAGTAGCTGATGTGTCCGAGCGTCGAGCTCCAAAAGCAGAAAGACAAAAACGCCAGTACGTGCACTCCCATTGTTCTGTCCAGCACCATCTCCAAAAAACACGAGTCACTTAAGAATAATATCCAGTTATTCAGCAAAAAGATTCATACACCATATATTCCAGAGTATTTTACATTCGCAGAAGACAAAATGACTGTTTGTTTCGAGAGGATACGAGCTGTGTACTGCGTCAGCCTCAGATAAAGATGTGATGGGAGGAACATAAAGCTCTCAGTAAATTCAACAGAACATGGACAACAGCGGCCCTTAGAGTTTATAAGAGTTCACTGCAATTCAATTGCTCCAGACTATTAATAGTTTGCATTATATTAAAACCAAATGGGTAAATAATCAATATAATAAATAAACAACACTCTTAAACATGAATAATGATGAATAAAAACCAAACAATGTAAATATGTGGGCCAATACAAATGAACATTTAAAAGATAATACATTATATTTAAAACAGAGAGACCGTTAGAAGAGACATCAGGACCACGGTGCTGCTCTCCGTGGTCCTGAAACAGAGACATAGACCAAAAATGTCTAACCTCGAGAGGAGAGTCGGGCTCGTCCAGGATGCTCTTCTCACTCTGTATCCGCTGCATGGTTCCTGTTGAACTGGGATCCATTATCAGCACGTTCTGACTCCCAGCTCTGCCAAACTTACAGTCACTCTTTCTGGAGTCTGTGGTCCTGCACGTGTCGTAATTGTACACGTGTGGGAGAGTCCCTGTGCCCAGAGTGTCTGAGTAACGCGGAGGATAATATGGGATCACTGGCAGATTGGAGTGATACAGGATGCGAGACTGTCTCCATCTGTATATTTTCACTGAGATAATGACCACTACACACGTGATGAACAGAAAGGAGACTACAGCCAGAGCCAGCACTAAGTAAAAAGTCAGGTTGTCATTGTACTCCTTGTCGTGCGTAAAGTCCGTGAACTCAGACAGTACTTCAGGAAAGCTGTCCGCCACCGCCACGTTAACAATGACTGTAGCTGAACGAGAGGGCTGCCCGTTGTCCTCCACTATAACAGCCAGTCTCTGTTTGACTGCATCTTTATCAGTCACTTGGCGAATAGTTCTTATTTCTCCATTCTGTGAGCCCACTTCAAACAGCGCCCTGTCTGCGGCTTTCTGCAGTTTATAGGAGAGCCAGGCATTCTGTCCAGAGTCCACATCCACAGCCACCACTTTAGTGACCAGATAGCCCACATCTGCTGAACGAGGCACCATCTCAGCCACCAGAGAGCCCCCAGTCTGGACTGGGTACAGCACCTGAGGGGCGTTGTCGTTCTGGTCCTGGACCAGGATCTTCACAGTCACGTTGCTGCTGAGAGGAGGAGAGCCTCCGTCCTGAGCTTTGACGCACAACTGGAAATCCTTGATCTGCTCGTAGTCAAAGGAGCGCACTGCATGGATGACTCCGCTGTCTGCACTAACGGACACATATGAGGAGACTGGCACTCCGTTAACAGAGGAGTCCTCCAGTATGTAAGACACACGTGCATTCTGGTTCCAGTCAGCGTCTGTGGCTTTCACTGTGTGAATATAGAGAGGCCCGGGCTGTTGTTTTCTACAATGTAGGCCTCATACGAGCTCCTGTCAAAGACAGGCGCGTTGTCATTCACATCAGAGATGTGTAAGGTGAGAGTGACGCTGCTGGAGAGAGAGGGCACGCCCTCATCTGAACACGTGACTGTGATGTTGTACTGAGAAGACTGTTCTCTGTCTAAATTACCATCCGTCACTAAACTGTAGAAATCATTGTTTGTAAACTTCAGTTCATATGGAATATTATCATTAATAAAACACTGGACTTTCCCATTTTCATCAGAATCTACATCACGAATGTTTATCATAGTCACAACTGTGCCTGGTTCAGAGTTTTCGGCTATTACATTTGTTTTAGATAAAATATGAATTGTGGGCACATTGTCATTCACGTCTGTGATGTCGACAAAGACTTTGCATGAGTCTACGAGCCCTCCGTCGTCACTCGCACGGATACTAAATTGATACATTCGGGCCTTTTCATAATCAACACTTCCTTTGAGGACAATGTCACCTTTTTCTGGATTAATAACAAACAATCCTCGAGCTTGATCTGGCATACCTGACACAGAATATGTAATCTTCCCATTAGATCCCTGGTCTGCGTCAGTCGCAGTCACTGTCATCACTACTGTTCCGAGGGGCGCATTCTCCTTTATGGACGTTTTATAAACTGGTTTTGTAAAAACTGGAGCATTGTCATTGGCGTCTAAGACAGTGATTAGAATCTGCATTGTTCCAGACATCTGTGGCTCTCCTCCATCTAACGCAGTCAAAACTAAAGACAAGTGCTCACTCTTCTCTCTGTCGAGAGGCTTCTCTAAAACCATTTCGACATTTTTAGATCCATCTGCTTGATCATATAATTTAATTGCAAAATTATCTCTAGGTTCGAGTCTGTACGTCTGCAATCCATTGACACCGACATCAGAATCCACAGACCGGTCTAAAATAAATTTAGCACCATTTACAGCAGATTCACTGATTTTAAAATGTACTTTATCATTTTCAAATAAAGGTGGATTATCGTTCACGTCTCTGATTTCAACAGTAACGCTGTGAATCTCCATAGGATTTTCTAAAATAATCTGAAATTCTAACGCACACGTCGCAGCTTGTCCGCACAGCACCTCTCGGTCTATCCTGTCTTTAACCAGCAGCACTCCCCTGTCGTTGTTCAGATCCAGATATTCACCGGTTTCGTGTGTAAAAATACGCGCCTTTCTTGACTTTAGCCTCTTTATATCCACACCCAAATCCTTTGCAATGTCCCCCACAACATAACCTTTCGGTAGTTCCTCCGGGACAGAGTAGCTGATGTGTCCGATCGTCGAGCTCCAAAAGCAGAAAGACAAAAACGCCAGTACGTGCACTCCCATTGTTCTGTCCAGCACCATCTCCAAAAAACACGAGTCACAAAATTATCTCCAGTTCTTCAGCGAAACACTTCTTATAGTGTATATTCCAGAGTATTCTACATTCGCAGAAGATAAAAAATGACCGTTTGTTTCGAGAGGATACGAGCTGCGTACTGCGTCAGCCTCAGATAAAGATGTGATGGGAGGAACAAACAGCTCTCAGAAAATTCAACAGAACATGGACAACAGCGGCCCTTAGAGTTTATAAGAGTTCACTGCAATTCAATTATATCAAATACTGTATTGTGTAGTTTGCGTTATATCAAAACCAAATTGGTAAATAATTAATATAATTAATAAACAACACTATTAAACACGAATAATGATGAATAAAAACAAACAATGTAAACATTTGCGCCAATACAAATTAACATTTAAAAGAGAATACATTATACTTAAAATAGAGAGACAGTTAGCAGAGTCATCAGGACCACGTTGCTGCTCTCCGTGGTCCTGAAACAGAGACACACACCACACATGTCTAACCTCGAGAGGAGAGTCTGGCTCGTCCAGGATGCTCTTCTCACTCTGTATCCGCTGCATGGTTCCTGTTGAACTGGGATCCATTATCAGCACATTCTGACTCCCAGCTCTGCCAAACTTACAGTCACTCTTTCTGGAGTCTGTGGTCCTGCACGTGTCGTAATTGTACACGTGTGGGAGAGTCCCTGTGCCCAGAGTGTCTGAGTAACGTGGAGGATAATATGGGATCACTGGCAGATTGGAGTGATACAGGATGCGAGACTGTCTCCATCTGTAGATTTTCACTGAGATAATGACCACTACACACGTGATGAACAGAAAGGAGACTACAGCCAGAGCCAGCACTAAGTAAAAAGTCAGGTTGTCATTGTACTCCTTGTCGTGCGTAAAGTCCGTGAACTCAGACAGTACTTCAGGAAAGCTGTCCGCCACCGCCACGTTAACAATGACTGTAGCTGAACGAGAGGGCTGCCCGTTGTCCTCCACTATAACAGCCAGTCTCTGTTTGACTGCATCTTTATCAGTCACTTGGCGAATAGTTCTTATTTCTCCATTCTGTGAGCCCACTTCAAACAGCGCCCTGTCTGCGGCTTTCTGCAGTTTATAGGAGAGCCAGGCATTCTGTCCAGAGTCCACATCCACAGCCACCACTTTAGTGACCAGATAGCCCACACTGCTGCTGAACGAGGCACCATCTCAGCCACCAGAGAGCCCCCAGTCTGGACTGGGTACAGCACCTGAGGGGCGTTGTCGTTCTGGTCCTGGACCAGGATCTTCACAGTCACGTTGCTGCTGAGAGGAGGAGACCCTCCGTCCTGAGCTTTGACGCACAACTGGAAATCCTTGATCTGCTCGTAGTCAAAGGAGCGCACTGCATGGATGACTCCGCTGTCTGCACTAACGGACACATATGAGGAGACTGGCACTCCGTTAACAGAGGAGTCCTCCAGTATGTAAGACACACGTGCATTCTGGTTCCAGTCAGCGTCTGTGGCTTTCACTGTGAATATAGAGAGGCCCGGGCTGTTGTTTTCTACAATGTAGGCCTCATACGAGCTCCTGTCAAAGACAGGCGCGTTGTCATTCACATCAGAGATGTGTAAGGTGAGAGTGACGCTGCTGGAGAGAGAGGGCACGCCCTCATCTGAACACGTGACTGTGATGTTGTACTGAGAAGACCGTTCTCGGTCTAAATTACCATCTGTCACTAAACTGTAGAAATCATTGGTTGTCATTTTTAGCTCATAAGGAATATTATCATCGATGAAACACTGCACTTTCCCGTTTTCATCAGAGTCTGAGTCCACAATGTTTATCATTGTCACTACTGTCCCTGGAATGGAATTTTCCGATATACTATTAATGTTCGATAACACGTGTATATCTGGCCCGTTGTCGTTAACGTCAGATATGTCAATAATCACCTTACATGATTCCACGAGCCCCCCTTCATCACTTGCCCGAATATTGAGCTGAAACGTTTGCACTTTTTCATAGTCAACATTTCCTTTCAGCACAATCTGTCCATTTTCTGAATTTATTTCAAACAATCCTCGAGCCTGATCTGGCATACCTGACACAGAATATGTCATTTTCCCATTAGATCCTTGGTCTGCGTCAGTCGCAGTCACTGTCATCACTACTGTTCCGAGGGGCGCATTCTCCTTTATGGACGTTTTATAAACTGGTTTTGTAAAAACTGGAGCATTGTCATTGGCGTCTAAGACAGTGATTAGAATCTGCATTGTTCCAGACATCTGTGGCTCTCCTCCATCTAACGCAGTCAAAACTAAAGACAAGTGCTCACTCTTCTCTCTGTCGAGAGGCTTCTCTAAAACCATTTCGACATTTTTAGATCCATCTGCTTGATCATATATTTTAATTACAAAATCGTCTCTTGGTTCGAGTCTGTACGTCTGCAATCCATTGACACCGACATCAGAATCCACAGCCCGGTCTAAAATAAATTTTGCACCATTTACAGCAGATTCACTGATTTTAAAATGCACTTTGTCTTTTTCAAATAACGGTGGATTATCGTTCACGTCTCTGATCTCTAGAGTAACACTGTGAATCTCCATAGGATTTTCTAAAATAATCTGAAATTGTAACGGACACTGTGTGGCGTGTCCGCACAGCACCTCTCGGTCTATCCTGTCTTTAACAAGCAGCACTCCTTTGTCGTTGTTCAATTCTACAAACTCGCCCCGTTCACGAGTAAAAATGCGCCCTCTGCCATTTTTCAGCCTCTTTATATCCACACCCAAATCCTTTGCAATGTCTCCCACAACATAACCTTTCGGTAGTTCCTCCGGGACAGAGTAGCTGATGTGTCCGAGCGTCGAGCTCCAAAAGCAGAAAGACAAAAACGCCAGTACGTGCACTCCCATTGTTCTGTCCAGCACTATCTCCAAAAAACACGAGTCACTTAAGAATAATATCCAGTTATTCAGCAAAAAGATTCATACACCATATATTCCAGAGTATTTTACATTCGCAGAAGACAAAATGACCGTTTGTTTCGAGAGGATACGAGCTGCGTACTGCGTCAGCCTCAGATAAAGATGTGATGGGAGGAACAAACAGCTCTCAGTAAATTCAACAGAACATGGACAACAGCGGCCCTTAGAGTTTATAAGAGATTACTGCACTTCCATTCCTCCAGACTACTGTATTGTGTTGTTTGCATTATATTCAAACCTAAAGAGTAACGAAGTAAAATAATAAAGCAAATAGCTAAATGAAAAATATATTCAAAACTGAAAAAACAACACAAATATGCACTCTAGAAAAATGAACATATAAAAGAGAATACATAATAATTCAAACAGAGAGACAGTTAGCAGAGTCATCAGGACAACATTCCTGCTCTCCGTGGTCCTGAAACAGAGACACACACCACACATGTCTAACCTCGAGGGGAGAGTCTGGCTCGTCCAGGATGCTCTTCTCACTCTGTATCCGCTGCATGGTTCCTGTTGAACTGGGATCCATTATCAGCACATTCTGACTCCCAGCTCTGCCAAACTTACAGTCACTCTTTCTGGAGTCTGTGGTTCTGCACGTGTCGTAATTGTACACGTGTGGGAGAGTCCCTGTGCCCAGAGTGTCTGAGTAACGTGGAGGATAATATGGGATCACTGGCAGATTGGAGTGATACAGGATGCGAGACTGTCTCCATCTGTAGATTTTCACTGAGATAATGACCACTACACACGTGATGAACAGAAAGGAGACTACAGCCAGAGCCAGCACTAAGTAAAAAGTCAGGTTGTCATTGTACTCCTTGTCGTCGTAAAGTCCGTGAAAACTCTCTACACTGACCCTCTACACGGACGGTTGTGTTCTACAGAAGTTCTCTGACGACTCTGCCATCATCGGACTCAGCTCCGAGGACGATGACACAGAGTACAGAGGAGTTATACAGGACTTTGTGGACTGGTGTCAGCGGAACCACCTCCTCATCAACGTGAGGAAGACCAAGGAGATGAACCACCTCCTCATCAACGTGAGGAAGACCAAGGAGATGAACCACCTCCTCATCAACGTGAGGAAGACCAAGGAGATGAACCACCTCCTCATCAACGTGAGGAAGACCAAGGAGATGAACCACCTCCTCATCAACAGAAGACCAAGGAGATGAACCACCTCCTCATCAACAGAAGACCAAGGAGATGAACCACCTCCTCATCAACGTGAGGAAGACCAAGGAGATGAACCACCTCCTCAGATCTATGGGAAAGATCTATGGGAAACTCTCAAAGATCTATGGGAAACTCTCAAAGATCCATGAAACTCTCAAATATCTATGGGAAACTCTCAAAGATCCATGAAACTCTCAAAGATCTATGGGAAACTCTCAAAGATCCATGAGAAACTCTCAAAGATCTATGGGAAACTCTCAAAGATCTATGGGAAACTCTCAAAGATCCATGAAATTCTCAAAGATCCATGAGAAACTCTCAAAGATCCATGAAATTCTCAAAGATCCATGAAACTTTGAAAAATCCATGAGAAACTCTCAAAGATCCATGAAACTCTCAAAGATCCATGAGAAACTCTCAAAGATCCATGGGAAACTCTCAAAGATCCATGAAACTCTCAAAGATCCATGAGAAACTCTCAAAGATCCATGAGAAACTCTCAAAGATCCATGGGAAACTCTCAAAGATCCATGAAACTCTCAAAGATCCATGGGAAACTCTCAAAGATCCATGAAACTCTCAAAGATCTATGAAACTCTCAAAGATCTATGGGAAACTCTCAAAGATCCATGGGAAACTCTCAAAGATCTATGGGGAAACTCTCAAAGATCAATGGGAAACTCTCAAAGATCTATGGGAAACTCTCAAAGATCTATGGGAAACTCTCAAAGATCTATGGGAAACTCTCAAAGATCTATGGGAAACTCTCAAAGATCTATGGGAAACTCTCAAAGGTCTATGGGAAACTCTCAAAGATCTATGGGAAACTCTCAAAGGTCTCTGGGAAACTCTCTACACTGACCCTCTACACGGACGGTTGTGTTCTACAGAAGTTCTCTGACGACTCTGCCATCATCGGACTCAGCTCCGAGGACGATGACACAGAGTACAGAGGAGTTATACAGGACTTTGTGGACTGGTGTCAGCGGAACCACCTCCTCATCAACGTGAGGAAGACCAAGGAGATGAACCACCTCCTCATCAACGTGAGGAAGACCAAGGAGATGAACCACCTCCTCATCAACGTGAGGAAGACCAAGGAGATGAACCACCTCCTCATCAACGTGAGGAAGACCAAGGAGATGAACCACCTCCTCATCAACAGAAGACCAAGGAGATGAACCACCTCCTCATCAACAGAAGACCAAGGAGATGAACCACCTCCTCATCAACGTGAGGAAGACCAAGGAGATGAACCACCTCCTCATCAACGTGAGGAAGACCAAGGAGATGAACCACCTCCACATCAACGTGAGGAAGACCAAGGAGATGAACCACCTCCTCATCAACGTGAGGAAGACCAAGGAGATGAACCACCTCCACATCAACGTGAGGAAGACCAAGGAGATGAACCACCTCCTCATCAACGTGAGGAAGACCAAGGAGATGAACCACCTCCTCATCAACGTGAGGAAGACCAAGGAGATGAACCACCTCCTCATCAACGTGAGGAAGACCAAGGAGATGAACCACCTCCTCATCAACAGAAGACCAAGGAGATGAACCACCTCCTCATCAACAGAAGACCAAGGAGATGAACCACCTCCTCATCAACGTGAGGAAGACCAAGGAGATGAACCACCTCCTCATCAACAGAAGACCAAGGAGATGAACCACCTCCTCATCAACAGAAGACCAAGGAGATGAACCACCTCCTCATCAACAGAAGACCAAGGAGATGAACCACCTCCTCATCAACGTGAGGAAGACCAAGGAGATGAACCACCTCCTCATCAACGTGAGGAAGACCAAGGAGATGAACCACCTCCACATCAACGTGAGGAAGACCAAGGAGATGAACCACCTCCTCATCAACGTGAGGAAGACCAAGGAGATGAACCACCTCCTCATCAACGTGAGGAAGACCAAGGAGATGAACCACCTCCTCATCAACGTGAGGAAGACCAAGGAGATGAACCACCTCCTCATCAACGTGAGGAAGACCAAGGAGATGAACCACCTCCTCATCAACAGAAGACCAAGGAGATGAACCACCTCCTCATCAACAGAAGACCAAGGAGATGAACCACCTCCTCATCAACAGAAGACCAAGGAGATGAACCACCTCCTCATCAACGTGAGGAAGACCAAGGAGATGAACCACCTCCTCATCAACGTGAGGAAGACCAAGGAGATGAACCACCTCCTCATCAACGCGAGGAAGACCAAGGAGATGAACCACCTCCTCATCAACGTGAGGAAGACCAAGGAGATGAACCACCTCCTCATCAACAGAAGACCAAGGAGATGAACCACCTGCGGCATGGTGGCTGAGTGGATAGCACTCTCGCCTCTCAGCAAGAAGGTCCTGGGTTCGAATCCCGGTTGGACCAGGGCCTCCTGCTCTATATGTACAGTATATAACTCCTGCTCTATATGTACAGTATATAACTCCTGTCTATATGTACAGTATATAACTCCTGTCCTATATGTACAGTATATAACTCCTGTCCTATATGTACAGTATATAACTCCTGTCTATATGTACAGTATATAACTCCTGTCCTATATGTACAGTATATAACTCCTGTCTATATGTACAGTATATAACTCCTGTCCTATATGTACAGTATATAACTCCTGTCCTATATGTACAGTATATAACTCCTGTCCTATATGTACAGTATATAACTCCTGTCCTATATGTACAGTATATAACTCCTGTCCTATATGTACAGTATATAACTCCTGTCTATATGTACAGTATATAACTCCTGTCCTATATGTACAGTATATAACTCCTGCTCTATATCTACAGTATATAACTCCTGTCTATATGTACAGTATATAACTCCTTTCCTATATGTACAGTATATAACTCCTGTCCTATATGTACAGTATATAACTCCTGTCCTATATGTACAGTATATAACTCCTGTTCTATATGTACAGTATATAACTCCTGTCCTATATGTACAGTATATAACTCTGTCCTATATGTAGAGTATATAACTCCTGTCCTATATGTACAGTATATAACTCCTGTCTATATGTACAGTATATAACTCCTTTCCTATATGTACAGTATATAACTCCTGTCCTATATGTACAGTATATAACTCCTGTCCTATATGTACAGTATATAACTCCTGTCCTATATGTACAGTATATAACTCCTGTCTATATGTACAGTATATAACTCCTGTCCTATATGTACAGTATATAACTCCTGTCCTATATGTACAGTATACAACTCCTGTCCTATATGTACAGTATATAACTCCTGTCCTATATGTACAGTATATAACTCCTGTCCTATATGTACAGTATATAACTCTGTCCTATATGTACAGTATATAACTCCTGTCCTATATGTACAGTATATAACTCCTGTCTATATGTACAGTATATAACTCCTGTCTATATGTACAGTATATAACTCCTGTCTATATGTACAGTATATAACTCCTGCTCTATATGTACAGTATATAACTCCTGTCCTATATGTACAGTATATAACTCCTGTCTATATGTACAGTATATAACTCCTGTCTATATGTACAGTATATAACTCCTGCTCTATATGTACAGTATATAACTCTGTCCTATATGTACAGTATATAACTCCTGTCCTATATGTACAGTATATAACTCTGTCATGGAGCTTTCGCGAAAGTTCACTGTGGTAGACCCGGCTGCTGCTGCCAGGCCACAGGCTGCTCTTCCTCGACTCATCAATACCAGCAACGCCCACACCCAGTCAACCAATAACCACCAGGACAGCAAGTTAAAAGCCGGAGACGCCCATTTCCCGGTCTTCTGAAGTCTGCAAACTTCTGAAGCCTGCAAGGTGCATGTCGCTAAACGCTCCTGTTCGCAAATGCATGCGTTGTTCTGGAGGGGTCGCTTCTGCTCACGTGTTGCTCGTGCGCGTGGCCCGGCTGTCCTCAGTCTGGCTGCTCATGGTCTGCTCCTCCTCCGCGTCCCTGCACCTGCTGTGGTTCGCATATCCCCACTGCTCTCCTCCTCTGCGGGCTCTTCTGCGGGCTGCTCCGCGGGGCCCCTCCGCGGTTCTGTGCTGCTCGTTCCTCGTGGTCTGCTGCCGCGCGCAGACGGTCTGGCGGTGCCGTGCGTGTCCCTGCCTCCGACTGGCGGTGCCGCGTTGTCCCGTTGCTCTTCCCAAGTCTCCTGGCACGTGAGTACAGTGAGTGTGCCGACCGCGGACAGTTTAATCCCGGAGTCTAGGCTGCAGGCGGCTGGTTTTTGCCCTACGCACTTGACTGCAGGCGTCAGTCTTCGCCCGTGCTTGGTCTGCAGGCTCCGTTT